TTTATTTATTACAACCTGCAAATATAAAGAACAGGAGCATTTAATGTTTGTGCTATTTTATTTAATTGAAGAGCTATTCGAATAAGTAAATGTTGTGTATTTTGGGATAATTCTGTATTAGCTATAACAAAAAAGTTTATTATTGGTGTAGGCAACCAACAAGTTAAGGAAATTGCCATTAAAACAATTAAAGATTTGTAAAGTTTTCTTTCTGTATTATCATTCGATAATTTTATTACTAAAAAAAACTTTTTTTTAAATTAATTTTACAAAATACCATTAAATTTAATTAATAAACCAATAATTGTATAAATAAACAATACACCCAAATTACTTAATAAAATTATTGTACTCATTAATAAAACCATAGAAGAGTCGATAAAGTCTGTAGGCATACAAAATACTTGCCTATTTTAAAATTAATTATTTTAAAAATTAATTTCTAAATTTACTTATTAAAATTTTTCATAGTAAAATTATGCATTTCAAATGGAAGATAAAGTAGAATAATAGCTGGTAAAAGAACAAGAAAAGTAATATAAATTTGTTTTTCATTGTTTGACATCATTTTATAACTAAAAAAATTAAAATTAAGTAGAAATTAGGTAGAAAGTAAAAATACCCCAATTAAGTAGAAACTCCCCAAAAAAAATTATTCTTGTACTTACCGAATTGGTAATAAAATACTAATTAAACGATCAATGCTAATTAGAAGAGAAATAATAGGTATTAAAGCCTGAGAATAAGGTCCATAAAATTCGGCATAAAAACAAATAATTAGCGGTATTTGAATGCGAGTAAGTGCCAAAAATGTAGGAAGAAAAAGAACACTACATTGGGCAACACATTCAGTTAATGCCAATATTAATAAAAGAATTCCACAACAACCAACTTTTAATTTACTAAAAATATCTAGTTTTTTTTTAAAAATTTATTTTAAATTACTTAAATGTCTTTTTTTAAATTTAAAGTTAAATAACAATAGTTATATTTTTTGAGAAATATCAAAGCTTCTAAGTACCCCCATTTTTACCCCAATATTTTAATTAAATAAAAACATACGGGCTTCTAAATATAGTTAGAGCAAGTAAACTATTACTTAATAACCCAACAGAACATAACAAACATTGGACAATTATTGTAATTAATTCAATAATTGAAATAGAATTGTCAGTAATTTCAATTTCCATTAAAAATATTTATTAAAAATATTTTGTAATAAATATTAAAAATTGTTCTTAAAAACAAATAAGTATATTTGCTTGTTCCCAAAAAGCAAAAATGAATAATATATTTTTTAAAAATTTTAATTTTTAAATTAATAAAAATAGGATTATTTAAGTGTTTAAATTAAAAAAATATAGTTATTTTTGCAAGTTTTTAAAAAGGAAAATACAAAAATAAATTAATTAAAAATTAATTAAGAAATTAATTCTTTTTGGGTAATTTTAGCGAATATTTGTTTCTAAATTAATTTGTACCAAGGAAGAAAAAACATCTGTATAGCATTTCCAAATTAATTTTTAATTGAAAAGAAAAAAAATATTTAAAATTTATTTAAATATTATATTTTTAAAATATTTAATTCAATTTTTTAAAGAATAAATTATTTTAAAAATTAAATTAAATATTGGGTGTAGATTTATGTGTATTTTATAGTAAATTAAAATAGCTTTTAGAAGAATATTAAATTTAATTATTATTAAACATTATAATTTTAAATATATCAGAGTTGACAAAAAATAGGTAATTACCAAACAATAGCTACTATAAATAGCTATAATTAATTATTAGGTACTAATATAGGTATAAATTGTTTTAATTTTTAATGATTTAGTAGATGTTTATAATTTGTGAAATATTTACGGAATAAAAAAAATATAAAATAAAAAATTAATTAAACGTTTCTCTACAAAAACGAATAATGAGAGAACAATAATGAAAACGGCTAGCATACACTATTTAAAATACCTCGAAAAATGGAAATCGTGTATCAAATCAGACTAAATTAAAATATTATAAAAGCCTTTAAATTTATTTCAAAGTTTTTTAATTAGAAAATCTGTTGTCTGTTTGCATCCTCAACACATTGCCTCCATTTGCTCATTTTCTAAATGTCTTCTGGTATTGTCACTGCTACAGACGTGTACGATGACCCTACTCAATTGGACCCTCTGGACACGCGTAATGCTTTGGTAAGAAAAAAAATAAAATTTTTTGAAAAATCTTTATTTTATAGGAGAAAGGACATAAGGCCTTCATGGAGTTTCTCTACAAAAGTCAATATCCTTTGCTCCAGGAGCTGCTGACAGAGCTTGAGAAGAACACAGGAATTGAGCGCCATAAGGCAAATAACCGCTTAAAAACATTAATGGCCTTTTAATTTTTTAGTTGGCATATGGTCTTTTTGCGACAATTCCTCTCTATCTTCTTGTTGGTCAATATGCTGGTCTTATTTGCAATTTCATCACGTTTGTCTATCCGGCATTTGCAACTGTTGGAGCAGTTAGAAGCACCTCTCAGGCGCAAAGAGACGGTAAAAGATTTAAAAAGTATGGGAAATAACTAAGTATATTTTAATTTCAGATGACATTCAGTGGTTGGTATATTGGACGGTCTATGGAATCTTCGCAATTCTCGACCACGTGCCATTTCGCATGGCTGAAAATGTTCAACTCTATTGGCTGTTCAAGGCGGTTAGTCTGTTCTACCTGTCACTCCCAGAAGTGAAAATTGCTGCAAAGATTTTCCTGTATAAGGTAAAAAGTATTTTAAATAAATTCAAAACAAAATATTCTATTTTAAAGGTCGAGCCGTGGGTTGTAAAGGTCGAAAAATATTTTGAACGACCAAAGAAGGAGAAAGATGTTGTAAGCAAAGGAGGGAAGGAGAAGGAAGTTCCTAATAAGGGAGGGAAGGAAGTTGTCAGCAAGGGAGGGAAAGAGGTTGCCAGCAAAGGATCGAAGAGTAAGAATAAGTAAATAGAGAAAACATAATCCTTGTATAAACGTCATTGTTGTCCATTCATACAAACATATGTAAATATATATAAATTGCTTGTTGATATAATTCTTATTGTTTAGCTTGTATTGTATTTCTTATTTCGTCAATAAAGTAAATATTATGTAAAGTTTGAGTGATGTAAAAATTTTTTCAAAAATATTGTTCTAAATTTATGCATAATCCATTTAGTAAAAATATACTATCCAAATTAAAGGCCCAAATGAAGGGACTCAGCACCCAAGATTAAGAATACGTTGGCTGGCCCCATCTTGCCTTATCCAACAGTTCCCGAGGAAACCCACGTCTTGACCATCTAGGGACCTTTGATCTTTTGGGTTAATCCCTTGACAAATTTAAAGTGTATAAAAAATATACTATCCAAATTATTATTTAGAAAGAACAAAAATTTAACAAACTTAATTATTAAATTATAAAAATATAAAAAGAAAAAAAGAAAGATTGAGCAGAAATGGTTATAAATAATATTAAAAATATTTAACAAATATTTTTAATATTTTCTAGAAGTTTGTAACAAATACCAGTGCTGGGTATGGCTCCGGGAGCTAGCTCCGGAGCCCGGCTCCGGAGCCGGCTCCGGCGGAGCCGGAGCCGGAGCTAAGATTTTGAAAACCCCGGAGCCGGAGCTGGAGCCGGAGCCAAGAATTTCAAACCCCGGAGCCCGGAGCCGGAGCCGGAGCCAAGGTTTTCCAATTCCCCACGGCTCCGGCTATACACCCCTAAAGATGGGTTAGAGAAAAAGAAGTAAGCAAAGATGGTAGGCGAGAAAAGAAAAGGAAGAGAAAATTGAAACGGGTAAAAAAGATTTTCTTTCCTTTCCTTAGTAATGTAGTTGTGGTTGAATGGATAGTGAGTTAGGTTCCGATTTTTATCCAGTTATAGGTTCGAAAAATATTACAAAAAATGATTAAATAATTGTTTTTCTTTGGAAAATAAATTATAATAGGCATTTTTTAAATAAATAAAGCTGGATAAATTTTTTAAATCGATTAATTTTAGTCTCTTGTGAGTCAAATTTTTCAAAATTTTCGCCTGCGGCGCAAAAAAGGAAGATTTTTGGCTTAAGGATCTTCCAAATTTTTCAAAATTTTTGCCTGCGGCGCAAAAAAGGATGATTTTTGGCTTAAGGATCTTACAAAATTCTCAAAATTTTCGCCTGCGGCGCAAAAAAGCGAGTGATAATGAGAATGATAAATTAATCCAGCCCTTAATCCAGCTTAATTCCCCGATATCGCGCTTAATTCACAAGATAATCCACCCAAATCCCGCTTAATTCGTTGATAACAAACTTAATCCTCTTATATCACTCGATATCCTCCTTTATCTACCTAGATCCCCCAATGAAAAATAATTCATTGATTTTCCACCCGGAGCCCGGAGCCAACATGGAGCGGCTCCGAAAATCGCCGGCTCCGGAGCCGGAGCTGGAGCCGGAGCCAAGATTTTGAAACCCCGGAGCCCGGAGCCGGAGCCAAGATTTTGAAACCTCGGAGCTCGGAGCCGGAGCCAAGATTTTGAAACCCCGGAGCCCGGAGCCGGAGCCAAGATTTTGAAACCCCGGAGCCGGAGCCAACAAATGGCAAATACCCAGCACTGACAAATACATAAATAAAATGAAGAAATAACGACAAAATAAGTATACTGTTAATAATTTTGTAGTGAGATTGTGCAATTATGGCAGTGCATATAGTATAAAATGAAATATGTAAAAAGCAAACTAAAATTGTAAAAGAGCTCTATTAGGTATTTAATGGGATTATAGAAAAGATTTTTGAAGGGGAAAATAATTGAAAAAATAATTTTAAAGTATATCATAACATTAAAATAAAAACAATTTCTCTTTAAAATTATTAATTTAAAAAAAAACTTTGTTATTTAAATATACTTTAAAAAATATAAGTAATGGGAAATGGCAACAAAAATTCACAAAACAAAAAAATTTATATATTAATTTTAATAAAAATATAAAATTATTCCTTTTATCTGTTTGTTTTGATACAAACTTGGCAGCGAGAAATTCTTGAACGTGTAGAACCAGCTTTTACTGTTTGACTTTGTGGTATCTTAAAAAAAGAATTTTTTAAATTTTAAAATATAAAAATTAACAGTAAATTGTTGTGAATCATCAATTGTAGATAACCAAAAACTAAATTTGTTTGCAAAGAAATGACTGAAAAAATAAATTAAAAATGCATATATTTTATGTTTTATTAGAACCAAGATCCTCTTGCACCATTACATTCAATGAAAGGAGTTGTTCTGAAATCTTCCAAACAAGAACCGGGCGAACTAAAAAAAATTAATTTAGGTAAAATAAATTCTCTTTCTTTTACCTCAAAGACTGTCCACCACCCTCAGCACCAGCCCCAGTGTGCATTGCAAATGAATACCCAATCCAAAGTGAACTCCAGCCGTTTGGACAATTTGGAATTTGAATTGACTGAGAGTGGATAGCCATAACCTAATAAATATTTTATAAATTCATAAAATTAAATATTCAAAACATTTGCAGGTGCTTCACAAACAGCACAACGAGAGATAAAAGGCTGAATTTCGTGTTCGTTAACAGGCATCATTGGGAGCTATAAAATTAATTTTATTTAAAAATTATTTTGTGTTAACAGCTTCTCCCGTTGAAAGCCAATAGGATTTGTCATTTCTTGAGGCATAACTAAAAATATAAAAACAATAATCAACTATCAATTACAAAAAATGCTTTTTACTTGCAAACATCATTGAAATCACAGAATAAGAATGGCATAGTTGAAAAACGTGGTAAACAAGAACCAGCATTCCCTTTAATTTTTTTTTCAAAAATCATTAAATTTATTAAAATTATACCCAAGTCTTGATTATGTGCCTTTTCATTTCCTTCTAAATAAAGGAGAGAATATCCTTCCCATAGTTTGCGTGTATTCTGTGGGCAGGGCGGTACTTGTGTTGTTTGTGAATGCGTAACAACAATAAAACCTGAAATTTCAAAAGATATTCACAAATCTCTAAAATAAAATAAATACCGTCTTTATATGCAGGTCCTGGAGGACCAATTGAACCAGGTAAGCCTGGAGGACCTGGTGGGCCAGGGGTGCCTTCAAGACCAGGAAAACCTGGTAAACCAGCAGCACCTTTTTCTCCAGGAAAGCCTGGCGAACCTGGATAACCAGGCTCTCCTTTCTGACCGGGAGAACCTGAGATTCCTTTAAAAAATTAATTATAGATTTAAAAAGAATTTTTTTTACAAATACCAGCAGGTCCAGGAAGTCCATCCAAGCCTGGTGGGCCTTTTTCTCCATCAATACCTGGCAAGCCAGGGGCACCTCTTTCGCCTTTCATTCCTGGTTGAGTTAGCGGCAAAGGCCCAGGCATTCCCTAAATTTTTAATATTAAATAAAAACGGCTTTTTGAAATTTTTACCGGCAAACCAGGAGGACCCATTTCGCCCTTCTGTCCGTCCATACCAGGCGGACCTGGATATCCGGCGTCGCCCTTCGCTCCAGGCAATCCAGGTAACCCAGGATTACCTGGATATCCAGCATCGCCCTTTTGGCCAGGGAAGCCAGGCAGACCGAGTTCACCTTAATAATCAATTTAATGTTTTTTATAAAGTAAATGAATGAAATTTACCTTTCAATCCAGGTAATCCAGGCATTCCCATTTGTCCAGGAAGACCAGGTAGACAAGCATCACCTTTTTCTCCAGGAAATCCGGGAGGCCCTTGCAAGCCAGGTGATCCAGCTAATCCATCTTCTCCTCTCCTTCCAGGTGTTCCGGGTAATCCAGGCTCTCCCTTAATAAATTAATCTTTATTAATACTAAAAATTAATACCTTCTGCCCGGGAAAACCAGGCTGTCCATTTTCGCCTTTAAGACCAGAAGCACCTTGTGGACCAGGTAAACCAGCTTCTCCTTTAGGACCAGTTAATCCAGGAAGACCATCTTTTCCAGGGATTCCAGGATATCCAGCTTCTCCTTTCGGCCCGACAAATCCTTGGCCTAAAATGATTTTATCTAAATGTAATTTTAATTACATACAAGGTTGCCAGATGACTTAATGCAGTATTATCTAGCGTCAAAACCGGCTTTTTTTTATAATTTTGGCTAAATTCTTTAGAATAATAGACTGCCCCTTATAAAAAATCAGCAAAAACACATTACTAAAAAATCTGTCTCATTAGGAACATTAGCAACCGTTATTTTATAAGTGTTAAGCTATACCTGGCAATCCGGGAAGACCAGGAAGTCCAGCTGTTCCTTTCGGGCCGGAAAAACCTGGTGAACCGTCCTGACCAGGTTGACCGGGGAATCCTGCCTCGCCTTTATCTCCAGGCAGTCCTGTCAGTCCATCTCGTCCTGGTGATCCAGACATGCCTTTGACACCAGGAAAGCCTGGCAGTCCAATCATTCCCTGTAAATTAATAAATAAAAATTGATTATTATAGCCATTCGACAAACTTTAGGTCCTTCTGGTCCAATAGCTCCTGGCTGTCCTGGGAAACCAGGCTCGCCTTTAACACCAGGGTATCCATCACTGCCTCTTTCCCCAGGCAGACCAGGTAATCCTTGTTCACCTTTTTCTCCAGGAATTCCTGGCGAACCCGGATATCCTTAAAAATAAATAAAAAATTTTTAGCATTTTTAAATTTATTTTAAATATAAGAGGAAAATGTAAATATTTAATGAGGGTATACGGTTGATATGATCATATACAATTGCAAAACGACGTAAAAAGTTTTTATTGCCTCATACAATATGATTTATGTAGATGTATGCAGGTCCAAATCCTGTTCCGCAAAAATTTTGAAAAAATACCGTATACGGGATTGGGCAAAAACGACTTTGCCAGCCAATAGATACATAATATGAATCCTTAAGACACACCCAAAACTGTGCAAGAATTACCAATTGGGTAGTTTTTCGGTTTGTATACCCTCTTTTTCTGACCATATTTTCATTTCTTCCCCTTCTCCCTTATTTTTCATGAGACACGTATCCTGAGGCCTTCAACTTTCTCATGAGGCCTTCAAATGCCCCTCCATGGATCCGTTCTTTTAATAATTTCTAATTTAAAATTTTTACAATATCAAGTATTTAAAATAATTAAAAATATGACCTTCTCTTCCAGGCAAACCAGGAGGGCCTGGTAGACCAGCATCGCCTTTAGGACCTGGCACTCCAGGGAAGCCTTCTCGCCCAGGAGGTCCATCTCGGCCTTGATAGCCCTTAGAAAATTTAAATGAATATTTTTATTTTTTTAATTACAGGTTCTCCTTTAAGTCCCGGGAATCCAGGCACACCATCAGCACCTCTTTCGCCGGTTGGTCCTTGACGTCCAGGTTTACCTGGGATTCCGGATATTCCTTTCTCTCCAGGAAGACCGGGTTGTCCATAACCAGGCAGGCCTTGTTCACCTTTTAGTCCTGGAAAGCCAGGAAGGCCTGGTGGACCTTCAATATAAAAAATATTAAATATAACAAATAACACGCTTATAGTTTTTCTTTAGAATAAGTATTAATAGGCTATTTCACTTTAAGTTTAATTCTAGCGTCATTTGTCTAGAAAAATGGTCTTCTGCCTAAAATCTCCGTCTCCAATTATATCATAATTTAATAAATTTACGAAATAAATACTTTTATTCTTAAATTTTTAAATTATGCATTACCTTGTGCTCCAACCATGCCTGGCTGTCCAGGAAAGCCAGCTTCTCCTTTAAATCCAGGTAGGCCAGGAAGTCCATCCTCTCCTCGTTGGCCAGGGAATCCTGGAAGACCTGCTTCTCCCTTAGGTCCATTCAGTCCTGGCAGACCATCTCGACCAGGTAATCCAGGAAGACCGGGGTTTCCTGTAAATATTTCAGTCATGTTTATTTTTAACTAAAAATCAAAATATGTAATCTATCCTTAAACTATTTCTCTTATCACCCAATCATTAAGTTTCCTTAAGATATTGTTTATTAAAAATTATACGTTAATTTTTTGATTAAAATGGATTAGGGCAGCACACGAACAAATTATCCATATATTAATTTTATTTACCTTTAGGTCCTTGTAATCCAGGCAGCCCACTTAATCCATCTGGCCCTCTTTCACCTGGCAGACCAGGATTTCCAGCGAGGCCCTGTTCACCTAGATAATCAAGATAGAATTATAGGTACATTTCTTTACCTTTTAATCCAGGCACTCCTGGAATACCAACAGCTCCTTTCATGCCTGGAAAACCTGGTGGTCCTGGTAAACCATCAGTGCCTAAAAACGATTGATTTCTAATCATTTCCAATTTGATACTAAATACCTGGAAGACCAGGATATCCGGCTTCACCCTTCTGTCCTGGAATTCCTGGCAATCCAGGCAATCCATCAGCTCCTCTCTCTCCAGGGGAACCAGGAAATCCCGGCTGACCTTCAATGCCTTCTTTTCCTTAAAAGTAAATTCTTAATTAAACAATGCATAAATATTATACTAGAAAATATCCACCAATTAAATTATAGTATTCCTTTTAGGAACTTAACGGACAAGTTTCAGATATGCGCATTGGGGGTTTTCGAAACGACCCTTAATTCTAGGATCCATATTTATTAGTATTTAATTTCTATCATTTAGTCATTTCTTAATTAATATTTAAAAACGAAAAGTAACTAAAATTTAGGAAGATTAATGGAAAATTTGTAATTCCATTGAATTTAAAAATGACATATAAAGATGCCCTTATAATACTATTAAATCGGGTTACGATGATTTAATTACATACCTGGAAATCCTGAAAGACCAGGCTCTCCTTTGAGTCCGGGAAATCCTGGTGCACCGGCTGCGCCTGGGAAACCTGATTGACCAGGCAATCTGTTATATTGTGATAAATCTATTTAGAATAATTAGGTTTAAGAAACAAGCAAATTGTAAAATTCATGTAGGTATATATACTGAAAAAGCTCAAAATATGCATATCTATTTTTAGCTTGAACTTATGAACATTAATTTCAAAAATTGTTGTGTTTCCGTTATCCTAGTAATGATTAATATTACAAACCCTTCGAGACCAGGCTGTCCGGGAAGACCAGGTAGTCCAGCATCGCCTTTAAGGCCAGGAAAACCTGGAGGACCTGGAGGCCCGTGAATTGAAGGTCCTGGTTCGCCTTTCTGTCCAGTAAATCCGAGTTGACCAGGTCTGCCCGCTTCTCCTTTAGATCCTGGTAAGCCTTGAAGGCCAGGTTGACCTGAAAGAATTACCGTATTTCCTATATTAGAGCCCCATGGGGCTCTATTTTTCAACTATCCTCCAAGGTGGGGCTGTATTAAAGGGTGGGGCTCTAATTGAGGGTGGGGCTCTATTTTTCAACCCTCTTTTGAGATAAAATCCCATTTATTAAATATCCATTGCAACTAGAGTTAGGCCGGAGGGGTGGTCGATAAAACCGAAAAATATCGAACGAGGATCGAAATTTTCGATTTTTCACAAAAATTAAAATTTTATAAGCAATGAATAACAAAATAGTAGCAATAGTTCAATGAGAGTAAGATCAATTATGAAATTTTGGTAGATTTGGACGGGTTAAGGGAAATATTAGGGGACCAGTATTTGACATCGATGGATCAAAGATATAATAGTGGATTTTAAGGGATTATGGTGAATATAAGCGGATTAAGTTTATATTGAGAGATTTAGCGGGATTAAGAGGGATATTCTGGACTAGGGGTAATAGGAGGCATATGAAGTGATTTTGTTTGACGAGGCTCTGGAACAGGTTCCAGAACTGGAACTGAAGAAATTCAAAAAGCAGTTCCAGAACTAGAACTGGTATATCCCCATGATCCCTCCTCCTCCATGATCACGAATCATCGATATCCCTCTTTCTTTCCTTTACTCTCTTAATACATCTATAAAGTTATTTGGATATTTTTTCCTCCAAAATTTTTTAGGTGGGGCTGTATTTGGGGTGGGGCTCTAATTGAGGGTGGGGCTCTATTTTTCAACTAACCTCCAAAGTGGGGCTGTATTAGAGGGTGGGGCTCTAACAGAGGCTGGGGCTCTAATATAGGAAATACGGTAATTTAAAAATAATTACTGTTATTTAATACCGGGCGATCCTTCAATTCCAATAGGTCCGGGCGGTCCTTCTAAGCCTGGAAATCCTGGAGAACCGGGTTCTCCTTTCTGTCCTGGTAGACCAGGCACGCCAGCAAGGCCATCAGCACCTTTATTAAAATAATAATAGTTATTTTTAATCAGGAAAACTATTGTTTAAATATTTTACATAAAATATAGAATTTATTTTACATAAGATCTAGAATTAAATAATAAATTGATTTAAAAACCTGGTAAACCAGGGAACCCTGGCTCTCCTTTCAACCCTGGAAGGCCTGGCAATCCGGGTGGGCCATCCTTTCCAGCTGGCAATAAATTTAACGGCGGCATCGGTCCAGGTTCTCCCTTAATTGGATTAATATTTCACAAGAAAATAAAAATTTAAAAATATTTATCATAAAATAAGTATTTTTATTAATCTATTTTTTAATTTTAAAATATTCTAAATATCAGCTTTTTCTCATAATAGCTTTTTTCATTTTAAATTCAAATGCGCCAATTGTAATTGTCAATTTTTTGACAATTACTTTGTAATTTCAATTTTAATTGTTAAAATGTCAATTGTCAACTAAATTCAAATTTTAAATCCACCTAAGACATAATTCCTTATTTCAATTTTTTATTTATCTATTGTTTGAGAATAAGTCTGATTATGTCTGCTTAAGCGAATATTAAATGTTCTTTTTTAATTTTAATCAGTTCCATTTTAAGATTAAATGGTTTAAATGATAAGACTTACTTTTTGTCCAGGAAATCCTGGTGCACCTGGTAGGCCTGCTTCTCCTTTTGGTCCAGGCAACCCAGCTGCTCCAGACAGACCATAGCCAGGTTCTCCTTTGGTACCAGGCAAGCCGGGTAATCCATCTTGTCCGGGCTTTCCAGGGATTCCATAAGCTCCTGGCTCGCCCTAGAACATTTATAATATATTATCAACTTATTATCTTCGAATTATATTTTAGTAATTTTTACAATACTAAAACAAATATTCATTTTTACATGCCTTTTGTCCTTCAGGTCCTTGTGCTCCAGGAAATCCGGTTGCGCCTTCTTTTCCTGGCAAGCCTTCTGGCCCAGGCGGTCCAGGAAATCCACCATCTCCTTTAGGCCCTGGATATCCGGGTGGGCCTGGTCGAAGACGCAATTGTGTTGGTTCACCTCTGAAGGTGGATAAAAATTATATTTAACTAAACATAATAAGTAAATTTGTGCATACTTTAGACCAGGTACCCCAGGTAATCCATCTCTTCCTGGCAAACCAGGTGGGCCAGCCGGGCCAACTGCTCCGGGCATTCCGTCATCGCCAGCATCTCCAACCATTCCTGGCATTCCGGGTAGACCACGATCACCTTAATTTAATATTGTTTTCAGAAATATATTTTATACTTTAAAAACAAATTAAGGATAGGTAATTTTACCTTGTGGTCCAGGTAATCCTGGATAACCTGCAAGGCCCTTCTCGCCTTTGACACCAGGTGAACAAATTGAACATTCACCACCACGTTCTCCTTTCATTCCTGGGATTCCTGGAAGACCTGGTGCACCATCACGGCCATCATATCCTTTTGGACCAGGGGCTCCGGGAAAGCCTGGTGGACCTGGCATCCCATTTAAAGAATCGCCAGGTGGGCCTTTAAAAGTAAAAATAAGGTATGTAGAGTTGTTTGTTAGTTGGTTTGTTTTTGTTGGTTTTTAGTTGGTTTCAACAGCTCGTTACCTCGCATTCCAGTTAATCCCATCTCTCCTTTCCTTCCTGGGGCACCATCCAATCCTGGACGTCCATCTTTGCCTTGTAGTCCAGCAATTGCTATACCCGGTGTTCCTGAATAATAAATTGTTACCTACTAGTATTTACTATATGTAACTGCATATTTTCCCCCAAACCTTTTTGCCAGTATTTCTATAAATTTATAAACTCATAATTTTAATATATTTCTAAAATGATAATATTTTCACTATCATGCATATTTTCAATGTTTTTGAAGCATATAAATTTTCCCATTTATTTAAAATTATTACCTCTTGGACCAGGTTCTCCTTTCGGTCCTAATAATCCAGGCAAACCGGGCGGTCCAGCAATGCCTGGAGCTCCGGGAATTCCAGAATCTCCCTTCTCTCCTTTAATTCCCGGAGCGCCCTCAAAACCAGGCAACTAAAAAAGATAATTTAATTTTAATTTATAATTAATTACTCACTCCTGGCACTCCGACACCTCCAGGTAATCCTTGTGGTCCGGGTGGACCTGGCGGGCCTGTATAACCGTCATTTCCTGGCAGGCCTGGTTGACCGGGACGACCTGTACAAACATAATTTAAATAATTAGAGATATAGTGCAGGAATTGACAATAAGTATAGTTCAATTACAAAGATAAAAATTTAAAGGTAAACAGTAAAAGTTTCCAAATAAAAGTATGCTATATAAATTTTATCAAAATTTACCTCCCCCATAAATGACATTTTTCCACTTATTTAACTCACAAATATAGGTATATAGAATTAATTATAAAGTTACCAGGCAAGCCAGGTGGTCCAGGCGGTCCATCAGAGAATTCCCCACCACCAGGTGGGCCAGGAGGGCCTCTTTCTCCTTAGAAATATTTATTTGAAGGAAATAACAAGTATTAGTATTATACCTTTAGTTCCATCCCTTCCTTGATATCCTTGTTCTCCTTTCTGGCCTAGTGGGCCAGGTACACCGGAAATACCGTCAACACCACGATCTCCTTTAAGACCAGGTGGGCCTGGATGTCCTGGTCGGCCTTCTTTTCCCTTAATAGATTTTAAATAATACAAAAATTTTGATCAAGCACTTTTTTAATTTCAAAAATAATTTTAAAATATAGCATTTATGAAAATTATTAAAAACTTACTCTAGGACCAGCAGGGCCAGGCAATCCTTTTTCTCCTTTAATTCCTGACAATCCAGGCTGGCCTGGTAATCCTGCTTGGCCAGGATATCCTCTTGGTCCCGGTTCTCCTGGTTCTCCCTTTAATTAAAAAGTAATAATAATAATAGTAACCAAACATAACTATTGACAAAAATGTCTTTTAATCCTCATAAATTATTAAAATTTTTTAAATTAAATTATTCAAATACATTTAAAAACTACAAAACATTTTTGTCAAGTAATATTACTCTCTATTAACTCTATAATATGATTCTATCTACGCTTTCTATTTACATATGTATATATTGCTATCACAAAACAAACAATTGGTTAATAAAAAGAATTTTTAAAATAAATATTAGATTTATTAAAACGTTTTAGTATCTGATTAAATAATAATTATTTTGAATAAAGCAAATACTAATTAACTACCTAAAACTACTATTTACTAAGCTTTATCTAACTGAAACCAAAAAAATAATATTAACTCGCCTTTCCGCCTTTCTCTCCCGGAAAACCAGTTGGACCAATAATTGCAGCCTGACCGGTGAATTCACTTGGACCTGGTGGTCCAGGAGGACCAGGCAGTCCTAAATCACCCTGCAAGAATTCAACAATTTAATTGAAAGTTAATTTAAAATTTTTTAATTTTGAGGTAATTCAATAAACTTATAGAATACTTTTTGTTTTTTTTTAAATTAATACTGAGTATTACATAAACAAGTTTGATTGAATTAAAAATGAATCTATTATTTAATTTTAACAGTTATTAAAATATATTTAAAATATAAATAACAATTACCTCATCTCCTTTTGGACCAATACTTCCAATTCCTGGGTTACCAGGCAGTCCAACCTCACCAGGGGGTCCACGCGGGCCCTGATGAAAAATTTTTATTTAAAAAAATTGAATGTACTTTTTAATTTTATTTTTTAATATTAAAATTAATAATTAATTTTTTAATCTAATTTTTTCACTCACTGTTGGTCCAATATCTCCTCTATCTCCTTTTTCACCAGGATATCCATCTCTACCTGGCGGGCCAGAAAGTCCAGGTACACCAGGAACACCGCTATCTCCCTTAATATTTTATATATGATATTTTAATTAAGTTCTCTTTTAACTTTTTCTCCTGGCGCACCAGCATATCCAATGGCTGGCTCTCCTTTTGGTCCATCTAGACCAGCTGTTCCAGGAAATCCAGGCAACCCAGGTGGTCCCGGCATTCCAGGCAGACCAGGAAGACCATCAGTTCCATTACAACCATCCCATCCGGGTGGTCCTGGTGGACCAGTTTCTCCAGGCTAAATAAATTAACTTTAAACGGTTCCGAAAATTAGCTTCACTCTTCCAGGATTTCCATCGTTGCCAGAAAATCCAGGCACGCCAATAGGTCCTCTATCTCCTTTCAGTCCAGGCGGTCCAGGAGGACCTTGTGCGCCTTTCTGACCTTTTGGTCCTTGCAATCCTTCTGGACCAGGAAATCCTCTACTTCCAGCTATTCCTGGCGGTCCTTGCGGTCCTGGAGGGCCCATCCCCCCCTTTTCTCCAACACAAAAACATCCACGTTGTGTACAATCTCTGCATGCATTTTGCTTAAATTATATGACGAATTTATTAAAATTATTTAAATTTAATTTACCGTTTCAACAAATGTTAAACCGGTCAAGAAAGTTACAGTTGTTACCAATAATAGTGGCCTCAAAAACTAATTTTTTCACAAAATATTTTTTAACTTACCAAATAGATAATCTAATAGGGATATTTGTTATTGAATCTATTCCTGTATTCCTCATTAATTTGCTTTTAAATGTTGATTTTTTCTTAGGTCCATGACTGCCAGAAATTCTCCTGAGCTGACCCATGATTTGCGCAGCTAATTTTTGCCTATTTTAAGCAAAAATTTAACGTAAAATGTGTTAAAGCTATAAAAAGAATTTTGTTATTCTTATGTTTATTTAATAAAATGACTATAAATTTTGGTTAGAAATTACGGTAATTTATATTAAATATTTTTTTAATTAGTAAAGAAAGATTTAACTTTAAGTTGATTTCATTGATAATTCTTAAAAAGATCCTAATTTTTTTAACATATAAAATTAAGCTAAAAGTATACTTCATTTTAAAGAATTTTCATTAATTTTTTATTAATTTTAATCTTTAATTTTTTATTGTAATAAATTCTTGTGGAGAATTTATTAGAATTGTATAAAATTTAATTATTAAGATGAATATACCTAAACTATTAATTGGCGACATTATATAGTGAAAAATAAATGAAAATTGAAAAATAAAATGGCTTTTGTGACTTATAGCGTGTTTTTTGTTTCTGGACTGATTGGTAGAATGAGGTGTCATTTGAAGGAGATCGGAAAGCTGAGTAGAGTCGAATGACACCAAAATTTGGTCGATTCGATGATTTTTAACAAAGTTACGAGCAATTGAATTTATGGTGGAATAACTTTTAGTGCGGCCACGGGGGTTAGCTCAGCAGCAACAATAACCTCTATTTAAACAATAGGTAAGGAGCTTAAACAAGCGAACGTAATTTTGCCCACTCTTGCTAGATCGCGATAATTTTGGTGTCACTCGACTCAGCTCATGGAGCTCTTCCGAATGAGCTATCATTTGAATATTCGAATTTTTCACTCCAAAATGAGAATTACTCCCCTCCTTTTTTTCAATTTTCAGGGGCCTATCTCGTTCTCTAGGTATCGGATTGACCCGCTATAATTCCCAATAGCCAATAAAATATGTTGAAAATTATATTGAAAATAAATATTTATACCTATGTAAAATAAATAAAAATTAAATTCTTAATCAATGAGCAAAATTCAAAAATCAGCAACAATAGAAAAGATTGTCCAAACGTCATTGTTTCAATCAAAAGAAGATGAGCAAAAGTATTCTCTAATATTTAGTTAACTAACTAAATGTGCCTGCTCAATGAAGGGGGGATATGGCGGGAATGATGACTCACAAATATACAAAAAGAGAAAAAGTATTTGAATGGCCTGAAGCTCTGGAAGAAACCGAAGATGGATTGACAAACGTTTTATATAGAGATTTAAGGGAAGTAAAGAAGAAGAAACGGCTGCAACAGATGGCCCTAATGGATTTTGATTTTGGAAGGTTGATATAAATAAATATATATTCAGAGAGGGGAGATTGAGTGCAAAAATTGTCTTTTTTGTTGATTATATATATTTTTAGTTAAGGATTATAGAGAAAGAAAGAAATAATCGAATAATTGGAAAAAAAATTTTGGAAGCAAAATATAATTTTAAGCCAAATCTTAGACCAATATACCGTATTTCCTATATTAGAGCCCCAGCCTCTGTTAGAGCCCCACCCTCTAATACAGCCCCACTTTGGAGGTTAGTTGAAAAATAGAGCCCCACCCTCAATTAGAGCCCCACCCCAAATACAGCCCCACCTAAAAAATTTTGGAGGAAAAAATATCCAAATAACTTTATAGATGTATTAAGAGAGTAAAGGAAAGAAAGAGGGATATCGATGATTCGTGATCATGGAGGAGGAGGGATCATGGGGATATACCAGTTCTAGTTCTGGAACTGCTTTTTGAATTTCTTCAGTTCCAGTTCTGGAACCTGTTCCAGAGCCTCGTCAAACAAAATCACTTCATATGCCTCCTATTACCCCTAGTCCAGAATATCCCTCTTAATCCCGCTAAATCTCTCAATATAAACTTAATCCGCTTATATTCACCATAATCCCTTAAAATCCACTATTATATCTTTGATCCATCGATGTCAAATACTGGTCCCCTAATATTTCCCTTAACCCGTCCAAATCTACCAAAATTTCATAATTGATCTTACTCTCATTGAACTATTGCTACTATTTTGTTATTCATTGCTTATAAAATTTTAATTTTTGTGAAAAATCGAAAATTTCGATCCTCGTTCGATATTTTTCGGTTTTATCGACCACCCCTCCGGCCTAACTCTAGTTGCAATGGATATTTAATAAATGGGATTTTATCTCAAAAGAGGGTTGAAAAATAGAGCCCCACCCTCAATTAGAGCCCCACCCTTTAATACAGCCCCACCTTGGAGGATAGTTGAAAAATAGAGCCCCATGGGGCTCTAATATAGGAAATACGGTATATTAATGGCGGCTGATCCTTTTTACTTTAATAATTTGTATTACACCTAATTTTGTTGGAATAATTTAAAAAATTAAGAATTAAATAAATATATTTAAGTAATTAAAATAAATAGTTTAAATAAAATATACATAACATCAAAATCGTTTAAATTGAGGGTTAAATTTGAGGGTTGAGCTGAATTAAAAAATTACACGTAAAATTGAGGTATATATAGAGTTAGTAATGTAATATCGGTTATAAACATATCAGGAATTCTGCCGTCCCGATTCCCGAAATTCAGTAATTTATTTTTCAATGTCGACAGAACCCCTGAAACATTAACATTTATCCAATCATTTCATTCCAGTTTAAGCAGAAATAAAGAATCGTTATATGTAGGTATTTAATATTTTTGCAAAATCGAATCGAGAAATGCCTCTCTTTCTTTTTCATTTATATCCAAAATTTCCCTTTTTATTAAACATCTTTCCAAATGAAAAGAAAAAAAGAGGAGAACATTTGTTTGTTGCAGGTCCAATATATTTATTTAGTAAATAAAAATAAATATCACGGACCAATTGTGTAAATTCTTCTTTCATTCATTTTCTGCTTCAGCTACGAAAAAAGTTTGAAATACTTGTACATTTACAAATTCTAGCAGCTGCACAAATTGATCAAAAAATATTTGTTGATTTCATTTTTTATATGACGCAATGCTTGAAAATAAAAATTTAAATTTAAAAAAATGTTATCTCAGAAAATTGTAAAAATATTTAAAGAAGAGAAGAGATTTAAATTTAAACAAAAAATATAATAATAATTTAAAGTATATTTACATAATTAAATATTAACTGTTAATTAATATGTATTTATAAAAAATTTATTTTAGTTGGATTAACAATATTTCTTTATTAATTAATGATTTTATCTTTTATTTATTTTTTTTGATAAACAATAATTATTTTGGAAATTAAATATACTGATAAGACTATCTAAATTTAATATTTCTAATTATTATTTACTAAGTATTTATTGAAAATTATTTTTCTTAAAATGTTTAACAAAAATATTAAATTATTTTTATTATTAATTAAATGTTTATTTTTTATTTTCATTAAAAAATCTGAGGAAGCTAATATTCTTGTTATAAGTCCAGCTCTTTCTTTAAGTCTTATATATAAAATGGGACATTTAGCTGATTTATTGGTTAATGCTGGACATAATGTTGTTTGTAATTTAAAAAAACAATTATTTAAATTGGGGAAATATTTAAATAAATGAGAATTTTATTTTAATTTACTTAAAATATTATTTTTTTAAATAATTTATAAATATTATTAAGACAGTTTTTATACCAGAAATGGATAATATTGAGGAAACTGGAACAAAATTAGCACAGAAAATAATTAGAATGAAAGGACTTTTTAATGTTATTGAACAAATAACTAATTTTGATGCATTTAACGAAGAAATATCTTCTTATTCTGCAAGGCGTTCAGAAGATGAAGGAATGGTTATTTACTGTGAATGTTGGTGGAAAATTAATTTTATATTTAATTATTGAAAATTAATTTTATATTTAATAATTAAAAATTAATTTTATTTTTAGCAATTTTAAAGAAAAAGGACGAACTTGAAATACTTAAAAATTCTAATTTTAATTTGGCTTTTTCAAATATGATAGATTATTGCCTTCAAGGAATTATTAAATATTTGGGAATTGAAAAACAAATTTGGATTAGTACTGGACCTTTACCTGAAGGACCTCTTTGGTTTTTAGGTTAAAATTACTTTCAAACTATACAAAAATTGAAAATCATAATTTTTCCTTCTTTATTATTTAGGTATTCCATTACCTCTAAGCATTTCTCCTCTATTACAAGAAACAACAATGTTAGGTCCAAGAATGAATATGATGGAAAGAGCAACAAATATTTGGCAGTTTGCTTTGAGTTGGTATTCTGTTATGCAAACATTGAGAAAAGTTTTGATTAAAAATCCCAAAGAATCTTTAAAAAATATTTTTAAGGAAAACGAACTATTTCGATTATATATTTCTCCAGATTTTCCTTCATTAGATAAAGTTTTGTCACAGGTTGATTTAGCTTTTGTTTATAATGATGAATTTCTTGATCCTGCATTGCCTACATTGCCGAAGGTTTTTCTTTAGAGAAAAAAAGGTAGAAGAAATAACTCTTTTATTATTTTTAGGTTATTTCGATTGGCGGATTGGGAATAAAGCCTGCTAATTATTCAATAAATAAATTGGGTATTAAACTTGTTAAGGCTATTGAATCAGGCAAAAAAGGAACAATTATTTTCTCGATGGGAAGTATAACTGATACTAAATCTCTTAATAAAGAAAAATGGCAAAATATTCTCAAAGCATTCTCTTATTTTGAAGAATACTCTTTTATTGTTAAAATAAGTGTTGGAGATAAATTTACTCGAGAATATGCAAAAAATATGCCAAACATACATTTGGTTAGAATTAAAAAATATTTAAAAAAGAAATGAATTTGTTTAAATTTTCAGTTCGAATGGTTTCCACAATCTGATTTACTTGGTATGCAAATAATAAATGAGGGAGGGAGTATATTTTTAAATTTAAAGGACATCCAAAAATTAAATTATTTATAACACATGGAGGATATAATTCTTTAATTGAAAGTACAATTAGAGGTGTTCCTGTTTTAATTATTCCTCTTTTCTTTGATCAATTAAGGAATTCTAAATGTGCTGAATATAGAGGAAATGGGAGGATATTAATTAGAAAAGATTTATTAAATTTAGAAAAAATTAAAGAAAAAATTAATGAAATGTTAATTAATATAAGGTTAACAAAAATTAATTTTTAAATTATTCTTCTTCTAAATAAACAGTTATTACAAACAAAATTCCCAACGTTTATCTAATCTTCACAATCAAAAACCGAATAGACCAGAAGAGGCTATAATTAAATGGACAGAATTTGTTATTTCTAATGGTCCTTTAAAAGAAATGATTCCAGAAACTGTTAACCTTTCATTAATAGAATATTTATGTTTAGATATTTTATTTTTTATTTTAATTATAATTATTTTAATTATTTTAATTTTAATTAAAATAATTAAAAAATTAATTATTTATTTATTTATTACAAAAAAACATAAAAAAGATTAATTTAATCATCTCCTTCTTTATTCATTAAAAACATTTTAAATAATTTACTTTCTCCTTGCTTATTCTCCAATTCTTCAAATTTTTCATAAATATTATTACTTAAAAATAAATTAGACAAAAACTTCTTTTTAAATTTTTGATCTTCTAAATTTCCATTTAATACAATATCAAGAAGACTTCGTTGTTCATTCTCTCTTTGCGGTGTTTGTTGAATATCAATAGTACTTGTTGCTATATTATTTTTGAATTTAATAAAATATATAAATAATTAAATTATTTTTTAAACAAATTTTAAACAAATCATTATTTTAATTTTAATATAAAAATTTTGATATTATAATAAATTACAAGAACGTGGAGGTCCAGACAATGATGTTGATGTACGAGTACTATTAGTTCCTTCAGAATTATTATTTTCTTCAATTAAATTATCTCTATTAATTCCAATTAATTTTTCTCTTACAAAAATTCCCAAAATATTATTTTCTTGTTTTAAAATATTTTTTTCGGTATAATAAAATAATCTACTCAAAATAAATATTATCAAAACTTTTTGTAATTCTCCTCTTTTCCAAACAAAACTTTTAATTAATTCTTTATATATTAATTCAAAATCTATTTGGACATTCAAAATAATACTTAATAATTGTTTAATTCCTTTATTTTGATTACGATCGTCCCATTGAGCTATTTCTTTTTGGATTTTTGAAATCATTATTTGTTCTGTACCATCCGAATTATTATAAAGAATTTCTCGAAGAACATCACCTTTCTCTATGTTTTTAATACATTCTAAAAACATTTTTTCCTAAAAAATTTTTTTATAATTTAAATAAATTATTTAGTTTTATTTTTCATGTAGGTAAATAATTAATTATGTAGGTAAATATATGTAATTAATAAATATATCTGTAATAATCTGCTTAATTTAGTACCCCCCCCCCCGCCATCACAAGGACATAAGTATCCTATTTAAAAATACTATCAAAATAACAATCCAAAAACATCGGCCAAAGTTTTGTCAGAATCAATCGAATAACTAAATCAAGAACTTTCTTACTTGTATAGCAATTGATGCTTTCACTGCCCTAACATCACATGCCAATTCCAATTTTTTAATGCTATTAATCTGCACAAGGAATGGAGAAATAGAAGAATAAATTAAAAGCATAGCTCGATTAAATGATGAAGAATTAATTAAACGAAGTAAGGGACGACGTTCTTTTAAAGATAACAATTTAATTGTTGCCAAAGGTTGCCCATTCTGCCATTTATAAAAAAGTCCAAGATTTAAAAGAGGAAATAATTCTGATAAAGAATTATTATTTTTATTAATTTTATTTTCTAATTCAGCAAGACTCCATTTAGTATCAATTAATACTAAATATTCTTCCAAAATAAAAAGCCAATCAATTAATTTATTTTTTATAAAATAATTTTTTTCTTTATTTGTTGTAAATTGGGCAATAATTGGAGATGATTGAACTGATTCTATTTCTCCTCTCCTTCTACTATTATTATTTATTTCTCCTATTTCAGCATTATTTAAAAGAATATTTTCTTTAAGTTTTTGAAAATATTTTATATAAAAAAATAATATCTGAAAAAAAACATGTAAATATTTTAAATAAAAAATTAATTATTTACTAAACTTTAACTTCTCTTTTATTTATTTCTGAAAGATTTTTTAATATTTGTATAAATTTATCCGATCTCAACTCATTTTCTACTGTTTCAAAAACTAAAAATAATTGAGATTTAACTGTAGATGTTCCCTCAAGTAAAGATAATTCTTCTATAATTGAACTAACAATACTTTCTGCACTCTCAATCATTTTATTTGACAATTTGGAAATATATTTTGGTAAACTAAAAAAATAATATTTATTTACATTTATTTTCTTTTTATAACCTTTTAGTTAATTGCTCTTCCCATTCTTTATTATTTAACCAACTTTCACCACTGTCATCCATATTTGCTATTGAAAAACTTGGATCCAAAATATAAGTCCACCAATGTTTTGCTTCCGTTATTTTTTTCAAAGGTCGAAAAGCAAGTCTAATACCCAATTTAGCTATTTCCAATTTATCACATTCAATTATTGGCATAATTAATTTTGTTTCCAATTTTGCCAAAACCCCTTCACTAAGCCATTCAACAATTAAATTATTAAAAGTTGAATTTAAAAGATTTTCTTTTTTTGTTGTATTATGTGTAAACTTTCGTCCAATTTGTGACCAAATTGAAGACGTCGAAGAAGAAGATTCTCCCATATTTTCAATTAAAATTTTTGTTTCAGATAATGGGGGTGTTAAATATTTAATTAATTCAAAAATAAAAAAATGATAGAAAAGTAATAAATGAAAGTTTGGTTTGCCTTCGTTTTCTTGATTTAAATTTATATTATTATTAAATGTTATTTCATTATCTCTTTCTTCTTCTTGAGAACTTAATTATTTAAAATATATGTACTATTTAAATGCAATTGGGACCAAGTCGGAGAGAAAAATCTCCGATTTCCCCAAACTTTCAGGGACAACTCTAATAAGTGAATATTAGAGCTGGACACTGTCCAACTCTAATATTCACTTAAATTCTCATTTTATAAATAAAATGTAGCCCTTTAAGGGCAATTTTTGTCACAATTTTTATAATAAATTGTTACAACCACGAAAAATAATTTTTCTTTTTAAAATAATATCTACCTTTCAAGACAACTTTCCCATTTATTTAATTTATTTATTAAACGAATATTTGTTTTATCCAAAATATTTTGAATATGTCTAGTACTATCATCATTATTATTTAACATATTTCCAATTCTTTCAATTAAACCTTCACAACATTCCTTTGCTTCATTTGCAAAATTTATAAATAAATTAAAAATTGTTTCAGAAAATTTTAAATAAAAATCCGGAATTTTTGATGTTTTTTGTTTTTCTTTAATTATTTGTTTTAAATATTTTTGTTTAAATATTTTCTTCAAATTTTTCGAAAATATTTCCATATTTATATTATTTTGTGGGGGACTAAAAGAACAAAAACAAAAATATTAAATAATTAAATAAACCCAAAATGGGCAACAGAAGACCAAACAAGTGCAGAAATTGAGGTTCTGACATTAATTAAATTATTTAATTTTTTATTATTGTCCTTCATATTAACCAAAATTAACATTACTTAAATTAATTTAAATTTTGTGTTTTTATTTAAATAAATAACAACATACAATAAATTAAAAATAAAATAATTAAAATATTAAATCTTTTAGAAAAAAACATTTTTTGGGGAAATAAATATTTAAAATAAAGTTTATTTTATTTTAAATAACAATGAGGATTTCGAAAATAATATTTGAGAAATAATTAATTAATTGCACTTTAAATAATAAACAAAAATTAAAAACGGAAATTATAAAAAAAATAATGTGAATAAAAATAAACAACTTATTTATGCACTTTTGGCCACACAGAAAAGTATTTTTCTCAGGATTTTTTAAAATAAAACTAAACCATTCTAGTTACAATTTTCATCAAATTCTTCTACTCTACCTTCATTTTCTAAATATCTATTATTTTTATAATCAAAAAAATTACAAATTAAACAATAAAATCTTTATTTATTTATTTAAATTAAAACTATAAATATATACAATAAAAGAGATCAATTTTTAAATTTTTAATAATTTTGGCAAAGTCTTAAAGGACAAGAAATTCCACCAATTTCCAAAGCAATTGAGAGAGCACAAAAAATTAAATAAGCAATAATCATCGTTCCCCCAAATAATTTATTCATTCTCCAATTACAAAAACCAACAGACAAAACAAGTACAATCAACATTAAAAATAGCATTCCAACACTACAAATTAATCCATTACTGGAAACTTGTACAGACAAATAATTTTGATTGCCATTTGAAGAAGTAAAATTAGATATCTTTTTTTAAATAAATTAATTTAATTAATTTACCGTATTTATTCTAATAGAATGGCCGCCATTCTATTTTTCGATACCCCAAAAAATTGTCATTCAATTGGAGGGGCCATTCAAATGGAGGTGGCCATTCTATTTTTCATAGGTTAAAAATAGAGATTAATTGAAATGAATATTCTACCTAATATTTTCCGAATCCGAAATTTTACCGAATTTTTTTTGTTAAAATTCGGTATTTTGAATTTGTTTAGTGTATTTTTCTCTCATTTTCACTATAAAACTCATAAGTTTTATGCCTGCCTTGCTAATAACACAAATTTTGATTAACATAAAGGTAAAAAAATAAAAATTTCTGTATAGTTAGTACTAATAGTTTATGGTATTGAGTAATTTGGGCAAGATATAGAGGGATCAAGAGTATTTATAGGGATTTTGAAGGTATTCAATTAATATCAGGGAGATTTTAAGGGACAGAGAATTTATTGGGATTTGGAGATCAATATTTCCTGATAAGACTCAGGTTAACTAGTATCCACGTTATCCTACATCTCAACTCCTCGAAATCCTCCAAGTCCTCGATATCACTCCGAAACCCTCTAAACCCTCTTGTTCAACGAATCCCTGAATATTTTCCCTAATTATTTTAATCCCAGCTGTTTTCTCCAAATCCTTTTGATCGATTTATATCTCTCTTAATCCTCCCAAATCCACCAATATCCTTTTAATCCCTTTTTTGACTCTAAACCTTCTCATAAATATCACAATTATCCGTTAAGAAAAGGAATATTATATTAGTTAATAAAGGGATTACTGAAATACGAGTTAGGTAGTTTATAGTCAAAAAGGGCCATTCAATTGGGGGGCCATTCAAATGGAGGTGGCCATTCTATTTTTCATTGATTCATAAATGTGTCATTCAATTGGAGGGGCCATTCAAATGGAGGGGCCATTCAATTAGAATAAATACGGTAGATTAAATTAATTACTAATTGCCAAAGAAAGAAAATAAGCCAAGGTATTGGTAATCTATTAAATAAAATTAATTAATTATTTGATAAAAATATTTAATAAACATACCCTACACAGACATCAAAAATGTTAGAACCAACAGAACTTGAAACAGCCATATCTTTAAATGTTAAAATTAGGGTAGCCGACCCGAACCCCGGTCCAAAAGTCAACCCCGATCCGCGACACACCGTCCCCGAATGTTCGGGTTGCTACCCTAGTTAAAATATTTAAATATTTTTCTAAAAAATACCTCCAAGTCCTTTCCGAGCAACAATAACACTAGGAAACAATTTAATTATAAATTAAAATTTAAATATTAACCTAGTAATTAAATCAGGTATAGAAGTACCAGCAGCGAGAATTGTTAATCCTAAAACCTAAAAAAATCTTAAAAAATTTTAGATTTATTTATTTATTTACTTCTGTAGAAATTCCAAGTGTAAGCCCAATTGTATTTGCTAGCCAAACCATTAAATAAGAGAAAAAAGCAATCCAAAGAACAGACAAAGAAAATGTAATTGCAAAATATTTTTGTTTTTCCTTTATTTTTTAATAAAAATTATTTTTTTATAAATTCTTTACAGGTTTTCGAACATCAGCCATTGTTAACCATAAAGGGAAGAGTATTGGGGCTAAAAACACATAAAGTATTTGTTTATGCCAAAGTGCTGGCCAACTCATATCTAAAGGTCTATCTGCCTCTTCTTCCAACACAGATTTCTATTAAAAAATATATTTTTTACAAAAAAACACAAAAAATCAAACAAACAATTTCTTCAAAATCAACTCTAGGCGAACAACGATTACTACTCAAACTACCAATAATTATATCTCCATTTGTATCAACTAATGATCTTCTAATTGCTGTATTTGTAGTCGGGTAATTTCTATTTAGATCAGAATTTGGTCGTTTAAGAATTGATTGTTGCTGTCATTTAAATTTATTTTTTGAATTAAAAAAATTATTTTTACCTCTAAATTATTTCCTCCTTGCATTCTGAGTGATTCTAATTTATTTTTATTTTCATTTTCTACTATATTTTGATCACGATTTTCAATTACTGGATCAAGTGTTTGAGACATTAACTACAAAATTTAGAATTTAATATTAAAATCTCTCTTCTCTCTTTTTACAGAAATAATTCCATTTCTAAACATTGCCCCAGAATGTAAAATTGGAATAGATTGACGTCTATATCCGCCAGAATTTGGAATTGAAGATTGTCGACGTCTTTGATTATTTGTGTTATTATGATGTTGAATTGTTCTGTGTGCACAAACTGTGTCTGAACGATGTAATTGGCTAATTGGTAAGGGACGTCTCCAACTCCACCATTCAAATTTTGGTGTTTTTTCAACAGGAATATTTACTTCTTTTGAGGTCTAGAAAAATTAGTAAAAATATATTTAGCCATTATTTTATATACAAATTTTTTCTAAGTTTTTCACCACTATATTTGTCTTTATTTTCTACTGTTTTTTATGAAAAATTTGTTTAAAAATCTTAATACACTTGAACAGGCAAAGATGAATAATTTTTTCACGGTAAATGATTTATTTTTAATATAAATATTTATTGTCTTTTAGAAAAACTCAGTTTATGGCAGGCTATCTAAAATAGCCAGCCATATATCCCATCCTCATTAAATTAGAAACTAGAATATTTTTCGAATTTTAAATAAAAAAATAATTATTACAACAATTCCACCAACACCACCAGATTTAGTAGATTCTAATTGTTTATTATTTCCCTCTAAATAACTATTATTATTATCTTCATCTTCTTCCTCTTCCAATACTTCCATTCTTTCAACACAATCAATTTCTTTTATTTGTGTTAATTCTTTATCCATTTCTGTTAAACATCCAAAACAATTTTTAATATAAATTTCAACAACAGAATTATATTTCATAAATAAAGCATAAGCTAAATAAATAATAAAAAGTAATGCTGCTTCCCACCAAATAATCTTTTTTTAATAAAAATATTTTTTTTAATTTATTTATTTTTAATTAACTTGTTCATCAAGAAATGCAAAAACTAAAATAATTAAAGCAATAACATAAAAAGAAACATCCCTTAAAAATTAAAATTTGGAAAAAAAAATATTTTTCTTCAAAAAAACCTAAAAAGAGGCCACCAACTTAATTGTAAACAATTTTTAGAGAAAATTGTACAAAAAGCAAGAACACACAAAATATTAAATGTTGCACTTCCTTTTAATTATAATTTAATAAAAATTATTTTGAGGGAAAACTAACCAACAATAGTCCCAATCCCAACATTATTTTTGGCTAAAAATGTCCCAACAACAGAAGTAAACTAAATTTTATTTAATTTAAATTTTATTTTTTTAAATAAAAACAAACAAATTCTGGGGCAGACCCTCCAGCTGCCATAAATGTTGCCCCTGCAACATCATCAGAAATATCCAATCTTTGAGTTATTACAGCTTTAGAAATTAATTAAAATATATTTTTTTAAATTATTATTACCTAATGAAGGCACAAAAAATTCATCGCAAACAATAGCCAATGCAATAAACATATAAACTAATCCTTTAAATTTATTTCCCAATTTATATTTAATCACAAAATAAAAAAATTTCAATTAAATTATCAACAATTTATTTAATTTAAAAATAAATATTTATTTATCTTTACCAAATAAATGTAAAAATACAGCTCCTCTACGTAGCTGGTCCATAGTAAATAAATCCTCTGGGAATTGTCCCTGGTCTCCAACCAATTGAGAAGAAGAACTTTTTCCATCTTTTCCTAATAATCTTTAAAAAAGAAAAACTTTTTTTTAATTTTAATTTTCAATTTAATTTTTTTCTTTTCCAAAACCTTTTTTGTTGTCGACATTCTAATGGCCAAATAAAATTATTTAATTTTTCTTTTTGATTAAAAATATTTTCTTTTGTTGGGAGAGGTGAAAATCGTTTAGTAATTATTTTAGTTTTTTGTAATAAAGCTAATGAAATATAACAAATAATTATTAAAATTAGAAAGGACAAAGAAGAAAAGAATTTTGTAGTCATTTTATTTTTTCTATTAAAATATTAATTAAAAATTATTAAATATTAATTGTATTTTAAATTCTAATTTATTGAAAATAATAATTAAAATAAAATGTCAAAAACACATTTTTTAAATATTTTTCTACTAAAATAATTTACAAAAAAATTTAAGTCAAACCAAAATTTAATTTTATTTAAAATTATTTGTGCTACAAAAACATAATTTTACTAGAAAATTTTCCAAGGGCGAAAATTGGGAAATTATTTTTAGAGAAATATGGAAAGAATAGCAAGAATGGACAATTATTGATATTTAAATAAAAATATGTTTAGCAAAATTAAAAAAAAAAGAAAATATTTTTTGTCATTATAAATAAATAATTGTGAAGTTAAAAATACAAAAGAATTTTGAATTTTTGAATTTTTGATTATTTAAAATTAATTAAAAATAAAATTTAAATTAAAAAATAATTTTTAAAATAAATATTTTAAATATTAAAAAATAAAAAAAAAGACTTTAAAAAAAGTGAAGGAGGAAAATGACAGATTATTCACACAAAATAAAAGAGGAAGAATTTGTATAGAACAAAAAAAGAAAGCGTAAATGGCATTTTTGACAAAAGAATTTGGTGGCAAAAAACGGACGTAGTAAAAATACTTGTTTATATTTTCTGTGTTTGTTGCTTGCTCCCCCCCCCCTCCTCCCCTTTTTTTGTCTTTATAAAAAAAGAAATATAAGGGTTAAATTTTTAGTCTTAACAGATATATACTTATTTTTATCTAATACCATTTTTATTGGCCAAAATGGTAGAAAAAATGTTTTAAAAGTGGATATAAGGAAGGCGGGAACGCATCAATTTGTTATTTGTGTAAGCATCCCCCCCTCTTTCCCGTTTATTAAATGAATAAAACGAGAAGAGGTAAAAGTAAAAAAAAAACACAAAGGAAAGGGGGGAATATATACTATAAAAGAGATATTAAAAAAAGAACTAACAAATTGGGTGAATTTTCTATAAAAATATTAAATCCGCCTGAGGGGCTAGAAAATACTTTTAAATTTAAGAAAATATTTTATAAAAAGAAAAAAAATACTTCAAATTCATCCTCAATTTTCAGAATTGTCATCGACAGCACTTTAAAAATAATTTTTCTTTTCTAAAAAAAATAAAAACAATACATAAATTTACACTCAACAATTTTTTGTGAGAATTTTTAAAAGAAAAGAAAATTTATTAAAAGCATTGCCAAGTTCCGGAAGAAAAAATCCATTCTTTTTTTAAGGCACAGAACGATCAATTATTATTTAAAATTAATTTTCTTTAAAAAAATATTTAGTAAAAATTAGTTATTTTAAATTGAATTTATTATTAATCTCTTCAAAAAAACTTTTCCTAAAAATCCATTTCTCTTGGATTTTAGTTCCATAATATTTTTAGCTTTAAATACCTTTAGTTAATATGTTTTGGAATTATTATTAGCTTATTTATTCAAATTTTCAATAAATGGAATTGTTTATTTGTATTTACCCGAGTCTGGGTTTCAAATTTTTAATTTTCTAATCATACGGCCCGGAAATTTTTAGAATTATTTTAAAAATAAAAATTAGGTTGTATTTATTTTTGTAAAAAGATTTTATTTTACATAATAAATAGAAATAAAAATTTAACAAACAAAAAAATATTTCAAATAAAAAAAAACACCAATTTATTTTCTTTTATTTATTCAGCCAAATCATCCAAATTTAAGAGCCCTTTACGTGTACATTTAATTCCTGCAATTCTGACAGATTCAGCCAAAACTTCTTTTAAAGATTTATTATTTTGGCATAAATTAAATAAAGCTGTTCCTATAAAACAATCGCCAGCCCCTAAAGTATCTATTATTGGGTGTAATGATGGAAATATTGGTTGAATATATAATTTTGGAGGAGGAATATTAATTGAAGATTTATTAGTAAATGATTCTCTAACTGCTGCACCCTTTAAAATTAATTTAAAATTAAAATTAATTTTTATCAACAGCAAAAACTTTTTCTCCCCAAGCACAAAACACTATTTTTGAAGATTCTCCCATTTCTTGTTGAATTCCATTAATTGCCGCCTCCATATCATTCCAACCTTTATTTAATTAATTTATAAATATTTTTTATTTATTTTTTTTTACCTTTAAATTGTGCAAAATCTTTTGAAACAAAAATTAAATCCGACGGTTCAATTAATTGTTCAAGACAGGGAAATGGACGTACTTTTTCTAATTCGACAGAAATAAATGGACGATTTTTTAAACGTTCATTTTTCGTGAATTCCATCATTTTCTTTACTTGATTAAAATTTCTACCTTAAAGTAAAAATATAATGTTTAAATTAAATATACAAAATTAAATAAGAGAGCTTTGACTGTCGTTCTTTGAGTTTTTTATTTTATATTTTTAAGCTAATTTTAAAAATTTTTTTAGTTTTAAAAAAGTTTTTCAAATGAAATTATCTTTTGTTTAAAATAAAATAATCCCCTTTAAAAAAATCCGATTATGGCTTGTTTGTTAAAATATTAATTGGGAATTATGTGATGGAATTATGTGATGGTTTTTAATAAAATATTTACTAGTTAAAACCTTCAAAATGTATCCAATCTAATTTACCATCCTTTATTTCTTGCCCAAAAGCATTATAAAACTCTTCAAAAGTTATTTCCTCTAAATTTCCTCTATAATGTAAAATAGTTCGGCTACCATTATTTTTACTATTTATAATAACCTTTATATAATTATAAATTTAAAAATGAGTATATTTTCTCTAAAAATACTGTAGATAATGGGCATTCAGAATTAACACGTCTAATACTTTTTCCAGTATTTATACCCGATTTTTCAATTAATCTAAAATTTTTAAATTTCTTTAAACTAAATCAAAAAATATGCAACTCGTCAACAAGTTTATTATTATTTGGAAGAGCAGCAAATAATTCGCAATTAATATCATTACGTTTTCTTGACAATTGATTAAAAACTAATGTTGAATTTGTAGCATTTCCACCTAAACAAATTCTCTACAAAAATATACATATATTAATTAATTTTCTCTTTTTTGATTTTTAATTTTTTCAAATTATAAAAAAATTTGAAAGACAATAGTTTTAATCACTAAAACAAAATTTCTCAATTGTATTGGAAAACAACTCAAAAAAGTGGACAAAAATTGATAAATATGTAAATCTGGATTTTTACGCGGTTCAACCTTCTATCAATTCAGAAAAAACTAAATATATTTAGATTTCTTTATTTTTCACAGCTCTACTTATCAACAAGTTTATTATTATTATTTGGATATATAAGTAAATAATTACAAAAAATTAAATTTACCGAATCAAAAACACGATTATCACTATCCTCAACAGGAAAATTATCCAAATAACTTACAACATCCAAACAACAAAGTCCCACAATTAATACTCTTTTACCCATTTTTTGAATATATGTATTGTCAAAATAAATAAAAGAAATTCTTTGGTTGTGCAAATTAAATAAAAAATTATTAATAGAATGGAGTGATTAATTAATTAATATTTAATTATTTAAAAAAAACTTTTTTTTGATTAATTAGATTAGTCTAGACTTTAAATATTTTAACAAAATTATTTATATATAAAACTCTAAGAAATTAATTTATTTTATCATAAATTATTAATTATCTAACAAACAAAAAATATTTAATTATGGTCAGAGACCTTTCCTCGTTAATTATTTTTATCTTATCATTTGGAATATTATCTAGTTTATTTTGGGAAAGAGTAATATTTTTAATTAATAGTATTTTGATAATTTTATTTATAAAATAACAAATAAATCCAAAAAATTTATTTTGAGATAAAGTTCCATAAAAATATCTTAAAATTGACAAAAATAAATTCGGTACATTTCTTTTCCTCCCAAAAAGATTTTCAGAAATTAATTCTAAAAATATTTTAAAATTTTTAAAATTTAATTTAGGGAGTAATTGCACAACAACCAGATCCACAAGCCTTTTGGCTCAAACCAGTAGCTATAGGGAGTGATAATTATATGCCACTTAAAGATGTTACGGGCATTGATTTTGCTAATTTATTTGGTGGAATTGGTGGTGGAAGAAGAAAATAAAAAATTTTTAAATTTGATTTAAAATTAAATTATATATATGTATATTTCTATAAATATGTGCATAAATAATTTAAAAAATTTAACTTTTTTTAATAATTAAATTGATAGTTTTAGTTAATTTTTAAAAATTTTTCCCAAAATTAAATAGTAATTAATTGAACAAGTTAATATATATATTTTACAAAATTCACAAAAAAATGCTTCTTTAATTATATACACATGTTTTGAATATATCGGAGAGATTAAAATCTTTTTTTTTGTCTTTAAAAATTGAACAATCATTTATTTATTTTCGATTAATTCATCCAATTTAGTGAGAGAAAATAAATAAACTTATTTAAAGATTTAGATTAAAAAAATATATTTAATAAACATTGGAAGACAGTTCTCCCTCCGTTTGTTTTAATTTTGTAATGATTTTTAATTAATTAAATGATCTTTAAAAGACGTTTATTAAAATTAAATAATATTTTTATTTTATATTCTTTTATTTTTTGTTTATTAATGCGTGCTAAATGGACAACAATAAATATAAATAATGATTTAATACATATATTTATAACAAGATCTTTTTATTATGATTATATTACAATGTAAATTTTAAAAATTAAAATAAAATAATTTTTAAATTAAAAAAGAAATGAGACAAAATATGAAAAATCTTTAATTGTTATTTTTAATGCTGAAAAGAAAATTCCAATTAGCCGTTTGAGGAATGGGGCTGTTTGTATAATATATAATCCAAATGGAGTAAGAACATGGAGAAGGGCTTATATTGAAGGAATTATTGGAGAAAGACCAGATTTTGAATGCAAAATTTCTGTTTATAGACTTTTCTGTCCACAATTGCCAATTAATAAAAATGATAATATTGAAGATATAGATGTAGCTATACGTTTAACTTTACAGGCTGAACCTTTTCATGTAAATTTTTTAATTATCAAATCCTTCTCTAAAATAATATTCTGTATCAAAAAGTTTGTGTTTTCGTACGATGACCTTCCAAAATTCGCAAAATTTTCGCCTGCGGCACGAGATGTTTGGAATACGAGGAAATTTTTCATACAGTAAAATAAAAGTATGGAAACACCTATGTCGATCAGGGGTAGACGCAATTGAAAAAAATTTTCCGCAGCCCCAATTCGCAACTCGCAATTTTAATTTTAAAACCCGCAGTCGCGGATTTTTTTAAAATCCGCAGCAATTGCGTCAAGCCCTGTTGTCCATACTTTTGCACGTGACTGTATATTACAAATTAATCTTTCTGTTGGAAATCACTCTAGTGTAATTAAAAGATAATCTGAATGGATAAAGCAGCGGAAAACCTGTTAGGACCACTTATTTTCTTCTGAAGGTATATTTCCTGAAACATCACAAGGAAAATTTAGCATTGCTTTCCCAAAGGACAAGACGCGAACATTAATTTAATAATATTTTAGATAAAAATGCAAAGAGCCGATAATAAACCTAAAAAGTTTATTGCGTGTCCAAGCCGTCTCTTTGCTTTTGATCAATGGCATTTATTTATAACAACAATGGAATTATATCGTTTACATCGAGTTGATCTTGTAGTTGTTTATATACAAAGTGTAGAAGCTCAAGTTTACAATTTGATTAAAGTATATGAAAAAAGTGGTTTGGTTCAAATAAGGCCTTCATTGGAGGTTGATACATATTTTGTTTTATAATTAAGTAGCAGAAAACCTGTTAGGACCCGTATAAAGATCCGATCCGTGTTATCAATTTTATAATTTAAAAATAAATTATTTAAATAGTATATTTATCTATTAGGAAGAGTGGGAAAATTATAATTAATATTTGCCATCAAAATTCCAGATGCCTTCAACAAATACAGAATTAGATTATAATCCAAATTCAGAGACTTCATGGCAAAATCAATTAACAAACTTTCAAGATTGTCTTTACGAATTTAAAGAAAGTGCAGAATTTATTGCTTTTCCAGATTGGGATGATTTCTTTTTTACTTCAAATTATAATATTCCTTATTATCCAATCCTCCAAAAATTTGCTGAACAAAATCCAAAAGTTAATACTTTTATAATTGACCGTTATATGGGTTATCATGAATCTCTAGGTATTTTAATTTGAAAAAGAATTTTATTTTAATTTATTTTAAAACGTCTAAATTATATTTCGAAAATAAAGGCACAAACAAGTATCCTTTAACCAAACAATTCGAACTCATAAAGGAAAAATAGGAAGTTTTGAACCTGATGGTTTAATTTGTAAGGAAAATGATTGGATAATTATTAGAGGAATATTTAATTGTTAGAGAGCAATTGTTATTTAACCTTATCCTTAAGAAGTTTAATTAATAGGGAATTGTTAAATGTACTAGATTTAATTGAGAACTAATATTTCTAAAACAGAATCCTTTTTTTAAAGATTCTAAAGTAAAATGTAGATCCAATTAGTCTAAACTTATTTAAAAAATTATTTACATATTTAATGATAAGATAAAAAAGGAAAAATATATAATATTTAAATTTAAAATATTTTTAATTAAACTTAGACGAAATGAATATCAAAGGCCATAAAATAAAAGAATTTTGGAAAAAAGGAATTAAATATAGCACAAAAGATACTCAATATTTTTATGGAAAAGCTATTTACAAACCAAATAGAGGAATATATGGAGTTGATTTACATTGGGCTAATAGAGTAGAGAATGGTAATTTTAAGTTGCCGTATTTATTCTAATTAGATGGACGCTCCAATTGAATGAAAAATTTTTGAAGGATAGCATTTCTATTTGAATGGAGGTCCTCCAACTGAAGAGGGAGGCCTCCAACCCTCCAATTTTTAGCTAAAAATACCTAAATCATATTTCTTTAGTTATTTTATTACTAAGGAGATTAAGAAGGATATTAGAGGATTTGAGTTAATTATGAGGGTTTGGTTAGGTAGTGTAAATAATAACTTTATATAATTTAATATTAATATATATATTTTGTTTAGGCTATATAGAAATGAGACTTCCTCTAAAACAGGCATATATTATACATGCTCGTGATTATTCTGTTAGTAATTTATATTTTTAAATAATTCTGAAAAAAATATTTTTAATTTTAAAGAATGTTAATCTTGATGGACGTATTTTAAACACAAATCCTTTGGAGAAAAATTTTGCAAAATTTGTTCGTCGCTACAAACTTTCCAGTTTATTAAATAAATTACCCAAATCGGAAGCTTTAACTGTTGAACTAAATAAATGTTTGGGATTTAATTCTCAAGTATTTTTTATAATTTTTAAAATTTTAAATTTACTAAATTTTTTTAAAGGGAATGAAAGTTTTAGTAGACAAATCAGAAAGTAAATGTTGGAATTATCATAAATGTAATATCAAAAAAGTTAGGGCAAATTGTTTTAATGTCAAAAATACTTGGAAAAGAATTGATGATTTAATTAAAGATAATCTTTTAATTAATATATTAACTGAAAGTAATTACAAAAGAGAACCTATTTGTACATATTAATTAATATTTATTTTAATTAAAATTTTTAAAATAATTTATTCTACAAATTTTTATATCAAAAATAAAACAAATTTTAAAAATATATTTTGCAAAAACAAAGATTATTTGATTCGATATATCCAATAAACACCCATTGTTTCGGTAACCCCAAAACCTGGAATAATATTTTTTTCAAAATAATATTTTTACTAGTACTATTTTTGTTTTTATTTATTTATAAAATCCTTCTTTTTTGTATTTTTTTATTAAATTGTTGCATTTAAAAAAAAGGAACATTTATTTATAAATAAACGTAATCAATTTTTTATTTTTCTATCAAGATAAAGTCAAATCCACTTTATATGTAAAAATACATTTATTTTATTTAAATGATACAGTTTTATTAATTTCCACTAATATTTAGAAACTTATCGGTCGATTAATTTTTGGGATGGGAATTTTACTTAAAATCCCTTCATTTTTTTGTGTTAATTTGTAACGGGTTTATGCCACACCTTTTTTTAAGATTATTTAATTGAATGATACAATAATGAATCAGTCCATTTGCAAATAATTGACCTTAGCATTTACGAAGTTTAGTTAGGAGGTATTTGACAATTTATCTGTATTTGACAATTCAGACTTGTCTCGTTCATAAATTTATTTCTATTTAAAATCTTTTTTTTTCTTTATATTTTTTAATAAATTGTTGCAATTTATAAATAAAAGGAACATTTATTTATAAATGAAACAAAAAATCTGTTCTAATTAATGATTTAATCTTTCTTCCGCTTTAATAATTTTAATTTTGAAATTAAAAAAATAATAAAATTAAACATAAAAACATTCTCTTGTTTAGTTTTTTGTGTTCGGAATGAAAAAAGGATTTAATTAAAATTTACATTCCCTCTCTACATTTTATTTAATTTAAAAAAGTTTTATTTAAATTAGTCGGAGATTTTATCTTCAGTTCCATATTTGTTGCATTTTATTTAGGTAATTTTAAAAGTATTTTTAATTATTAAACTTCTTCGAATATTTGATTTTGAATTTAAATATTTTTCTTAAAATAAAAGGCTGAAAATTGTATTTTGTAAAATTTTTTGATTTCGAATAGCCCCCCACCCAAAAACTGAAAGATTGATATTAATTGCCTGAACAATTACTTTATTTCAAACCTTTGCTTGATTTTTTTAAATTTTATTTTAGCCTTATTTTCAATGATTTTTAAAAAACGATTAATTAAGCAATTGCTGAATAGAATTACAAAATCATCTAATTATATTTTTATTATTTATATTTTTGTTTTTGGAAGATATTTAATTTATAAATGGACAACAATAAATATAAATAATGATTTAATACATATATTTATAACAAGATCTTTTTATTATGATTATATTACAATGTAAATTTTAAAATTTTATTTATGTAAAAAAATAATTTTTAAATTAAAAAAGAAATGAGACAAAATATGAAAAATCTTTAATTGTTATTTTTAATGCTGAAAAGAAAATTCCAATTAGCCGTTTGAGGAATGGGGCTGTTTGTATAATATATAATCCAAATGGAGTAAGAACATGGAGAAGGGCTTATATTGAAGGAATTATTGGAGAAAGACCAGATTTTGAATGCAAAATTTCTGTTTATAGACTTTTCTGTCCACAATTGCCAATTAATAAAAATGATAATATTGAAGATATAGATGTAGCTATACGTTTAACTTTACAGGCTAAACCTTTTCATGTAAATTTTATGGTATAATATGTTACATTTTCGGGTTCAACTTTTAAATATTTTAATATATTTTTTTATATTTTAATCGAAAGAGCTCGTTAAGCTGAGTTGGATGTTAGTCCCCAGAAATTAGTCCGCAGAAACTTCTTTGGGCCGAGCTACAAGCACCTGGAAACTCAAAAACCATAGGGGGACCAAGCTGTTTTTTGGATTGTGTTGTGCCCCTCACAAAAGGTTTATGCTATTGTGTTATTGAGATCTAGATATTTGAATGTGATATAGACCTAGTTCATTTTTATTTGTTCTTAGCAACGATAATTTATCTTGTTTAAATTTTTGTAGATGTTTCCTATTATTATTTCAAAATAAATTTAAACTGTTTCCATTCCTTGCACCAGTTAAAATAGGGGAGTAAAATTAAAAATCTGTACCAAAGTTCTGTATGAAACATCTTTAATCGAAAAATTATTAATATTTTAGATAAAAATGCAAAGAGCCGATAATAAACCTAAAAAGTTTATTGCGTGTCCAAGCCGTCTTTTTGCTTTTGATCAATGGCATTTATTTATAACAACAATGGAATTATATCGTTTACATCAAGTTGATCTTGTAGTTGTTTATATACAAAGTGTAGAAGCCCAAGTTTATAATTTGATTAAAGTATATGAAAAAAGTGGTTTGGTTCAGATAAGGCCTTCATTGGAGGTGTTTATTATAATTAAGCGTTAAAAGACTCGATCCGTGTTATTAATTTTACAATTTAAAAATAAATAAATTAAGGTTATTTACATAAATATATTTAACTAAATATTAGGATAAAAGATAAAAGGATAAGCTTAGGATAAATAGATAAGCTCAGTTATAGCGTTTCTGTATATGGTGAGCGAAAACGCTTAGCAATAACTAAGTTCCAATTCTGTCCGGTGTCTAAACTTTTGCTAAACTCTTTCTATTTGGAAGATGGGAAATTTATAATTAATATTTGCCATCAAAATTCCAGATGCCTTCAACAAATACAGAATTAGATTATAATCCAAATTCAGAAACTTCATGGCAAAATCAATTAACAAACTTTCAAGATTGTCTTTACGAATTTAAAGAAAGTGCAGAATTTATTGCTTTTCCAGATTGGGATGATTTCTTTTTTACTTCAAATTATAATATTCCTTATTATCCAATCCTCCAAAAATTTGCTGAACAAAATCCAAAAGTTAATACTTTTATAATTGACCGTTATATGGGTTATCATGAATCTCTAGGTATTTTAATTTGAAAAAGAATTTTAATTTAAATCAAGTGTAGATGAAATGAATATTAATGGGCATTGGATGACAGATTTTTGGCGACAAGGAATAAAATATAGTACAAAAGATAAACAATTTTTTGCTGGGCAAAAATATGGAAAAGCTATTTACAAACCAAATAGAGGAATATATGGAGTTGATTTACATTGGGCTAATAGAGTAGAGAATGGTAATTATTTGCATTCCTTTGTAAATAATAATTACTTTAATTATACTTTTAAGGCTACACTGAAATTCGGATTCCGCTTAACAAAGCATATATTATACATGCTCGAGATTATTCTGTTAGTTTATTTTTCTTTTATTTTATTAAATTTTATTTATTTTTAAAAATAATTTAAATATTTTCATTTAAGCTATTTTGGTTAATTTTAGTATCTTTAGAATTATTTAAATTCTATAACTGTTGCAATTATTATTTTAAATTAACACAAAATACTGATTGTTTTATTACCTAAAATACTTTAATAATTTTCTTAAAATATTTTTTAAAGAAGTATAGACTTGATGGACGTATTGAAGATACAAGGCCTTTGGAATTAAACTTTACATCTTTTGTTCGTCGCTATAAACTTTCGAGTTTATTAAATAAATTACCCAAATCTGAAGCTTTAACTGTTGAACTAAATAAATGTTTGGGATTTAATTCTCAAGTATTTTTTTATTTTTAATTTTAATTTAAGTCTTTTAAAAGGGAATGAAAGTTTTAGTAGACAAATCAGAAAGTAAATGTTGGAATTATCATAAATGTAATATTAAAAAAGTTAGGGCAAATTGTTTTAATGTTAAAAATACTTGGATTAAACTGCGTAAAAATAATCTTTTAATTAATATTTTAATTAAAAGTAAATTTCAAAAAGAGGCTATTTGTACATATTAATTTAAAAATTAATTTTTTAAATTAATTTTTTATTTAATTCGTTAAATAAAAATATTTTCATGAAAAAAATTAATTTTGATATTAAAAATGTTAAATAAATAAAAGCCATTTTCAATTAATTAAAGTTTAAAATTTTGTTTAGTAAAAATTCTGAGAAGAAAAAAATAACAAAATTTTTATTTTAAATAATCTGTACATAATTTTTTAATATTTAACTTTAGTTCAACTTCTAACAAAATAAGATCTTGCTTTTAAAGGGAAATTAAAATAGTTTAACACATTTATAGGGTTTTGGTCTAGAATTTTAGTGTCATTTCTTAATGTCATATTTGGACTTGCGAGTTTAGGGGAATTTCCGGTTTATACAAAACATGGATGTATGTATATAGCAGAGGTGAATCGGGATTCCGATTTCCGTCACCTTCGTTATTTTCCATTCACCTCTGGTGTCTTCATTTACATATCTATATTTTTGTAACATTTATGTATTTCCACCCGGGTGAGTTTTTAGAGTACCAAAACTTGAATAAATGTGTCCATTAAAATAATTAAAATTAAATTAAAATGGATTATCATCAACTTCAATTTTTCCTTCAAAGTTTAAGGTTAATGGAAGCCATTCAGTTGGAAAAAAATCTTTTTTAGAAATATGTCGACAACTACGTTCACAACTATAATAAAATATAGGACTTCCTTCTGGTAATAAATATCCCATCCACCAAGCAAAAGTTGAGGTTGGGGCAGTTATTAATAAAGAATTACAATAATTAATAGCAAAACATAAATTTACAGCTCTACTTCTAATTGTTGGTGTATAGATTGTCTAAAAAAGGTACGTGGGAATAAATGGAATAAAATCTCCTAATTTTTTAACCCTTTCTCTTTTGTTCCTCCTCAAATTTTAAAAAATTTAATTTACCACATTATCTGCTATTTCAATATGATTCAGAAAATTGTTGTCATCTCCAAAAAGAATAATTGATATATTCGAATATCTTTTCTATTTTTAAATAAATTTTTTTCAATAACATTATTTTTATTAAAAAATACCTTAACAGAATTTATAATATATGAAGTAGCCTTTTCAGTAAAATATTTATTAGTTGACTGTTGTAACTCAACAAAATCACCTCTACGTGTATGTACACAAATTTTAAATTCTTTATTTATAATAGATTGACTTCTGAAAAAAATAATTATTTTTAACTGGTAAAATGCATAAATGGATATTTTATATCAATTATTTTGATATTAAAATGGTACTAATTTGAGCTTAAAAATAATTTTTAAATGGTTAATTTGTAAATAAAATTTTGGATATTCCTTGTAATTTTATGAAATTAAATTTATTAAAATTTTAACAGCATTTAATGAATTTAAATTATTTTAATTTAAAATATAGGTATATATATTTTTGTTGACTTTTTTAAAAACTGTTGAACGTTAATAAGGTTATGTTGAACATACATTTTTCTGAAAAAATACGGGCGTTTTTATCTCGTTATAATTTTAATTTTCAACTTAGGATAGCAGAAACTTTACAAATGATTTATTTAAATTAGGCTCCACTTCATTTTGTGAGTACATAAATACTTATAAATTTTTTAATTATTTAAATTACAAAAATAATTAATTTAGTTAAAAATTAATAACTTGAACAATTTTTGGGCAAATTGATAAGCTTTCAATTTATTTTGAGTGCTAAAAGTAAAGAATTTTCGTATTTGTTTTTTGTAGTTTCTCAAATATTTAAATGATTGTAAATAATTTCCCCATATTTTAATAAGTTGGGCTGATTCGTCTGTTAACCTGCAAACTAAATTTTAAAATTTTATTTAATATTTATTATAAATTAAGAGAGAAGATTTAATAAAAATAAATTTTGTTTAATAAAGGAAATAGGTAAATAAAAATTTAATAGAAAAATTAATAAAGATGTTTTTGTAATTTTTAATTTTTTTTATAAAATTCCTCCACCTATCTGGAGAATCATAATGACAACACTTTTCAGCAAAACTAACAAGTTTAACATGTTGCTTCTTTGGACGCTTTAATTTTTTAAATTAATTTAAAAATTAATTAATTAATTTAAAATAACCATAATTTTAAATATTTTATAATTATTTTCAAAAATATCCCGAAATTCTTCTTTATATTCATAAATACATTTATAATTGCCATCAAAATAAATTGAACGATTTAATTGTTTTCCAATTACATAAAGAGAAGCTGTTCTCCACATCTAATTAAATTAATTGTTAAAGAAGGATATACTGTATTTTCTCAATTAATCCCCCTGGGGAATTAATATTTCAGCACATACATATGTGGGATGGGGAATTTGCGGGGGGTAATTAATCGGTTTTTGGCATTTGGATGTGCAGTAGGGTATTTGGGGGTAGGGAATTATTGTTTCAACCCAACTCTAGCATGGGGAATTAATCGAGAGGGGGAATTATTCGAGGGAGGGGAATTAATCGAGAAATACAGTATTTATATCTCAAAAATCCGATTCCTAGGCATAATATTTATTTCTCGTTAATGCAAATATTTTAAATTTAAATATTTATTTTTAAATTAATTCCCAACCATATTTCCAAGTCCTCCGCATTTATCTGCAGAAGTTTCAAGACTAATAGTTAAATATTTAGTATCTCCATATATCCTCAATATTTCCTCTAAATGTTTACCTTTAATTAAATTTAAATATTTATTTATTTTTACATACTTTCATCTCCAATTATTTTAAAAATAAAAATTATAACAATAAAAATAATTAATATAATTAATTTAATTGATTGAAAACTAATTAAATAAAACAAAAAAGGAAAATGCCAATATAATCTTTGAATTATTTGTTGTTTTTTAATTAAAAAATAATTTGACAATTTTTCTTTTATTCGAATAAACCACCATTCTTTTCCTCCACCCATTTTCTTTTGTTGAATTTTATTTTTACAATTCTAAACTGTTTAAAAAATAATTTTAAAAGGAAAATATTTTATTTAATCATTAATTTTTTTAAATTAAAAAAGATGCTTAAAAGGAGAGAAAGAGATGCTGTCTCTAAGTGTTTTTACAAATAACACCCCAAATATTTATTTATAAAATCCACTTTTCTTTTTAAATAAACAAGTTTAAAAATAAGAAGAGATAAAAATCAAAAAAATATTTTTACATATTATTCCGGAATCATTATTTATAACCCAATATTCAAAGGTGCATCACAAATATATTTAAAAACTGGAAGAGACGATAAATAAATTTAAAAAAAGGTTAATTAAAAAAGAAAAGTTTTTAATTAAAATTTAAAAAATAAATAAATATCTATTTTTATTTTAAGAAAAATATTTTTTACAAACAAACAAACAAACAAAAATAAAGAAAATCAAAGTTTGTATAGTTCGCACCGTGCAGTGCCAACACAAAACATTATTATTATTAAATTTTAAGGAGCAAATTCTTAAAAAATTAAAAAAATAACAGGTAGCACAAAATAATACAAAAATAAATTTGAAGAAAAATTGAAGTGCTAAATTGATCTTTAACTTTTTAATTTTTATTTGAATTGTTACATTCATATATTTAAATATTTAAAAGTAAAAAATACTTTAAATATATTTATTTAAATTTATTTAAAAATAAAAATATTTCTAAAAAGAATCTTTCTTTAATATTTTTCGCTCAATCAATTATTAAAAATAAATATTTAGTAGAAGGTCAGTGTCCATAATAAGAAGAGAAAGCTTGGCCAATATATATGTATTTATTTGCGCATTCCCGATTTTTATTTGTTAATTCCTATTTATTTATTTACATATATGTATATTTATAATTTTAATTATTTAAATTAATCTTAAACATGAACAAAAAGTAGAAGACATTAAATTAAAATTTAAAAATTTGAAATATCTAATTATTTTGAACGGAGAGATAATAATTTTTATAAAGTTTTTTTAGATACTTAAATTTAAATTTAAATGTTTTGCTTTTTCCTTTCTTTTATTTTTTATTTTTGGCCATCATTAATTCTTAAACAATTAACGTGTGCCCAATTAATACCCAGAGTTTTGTTATTTAATGACCCAAAATATTCTGCAGTTACACTTAGCCCTGATGGAAAAACTGTTGCTTTCCTTGCACCTAATGAAGTATAATTTATTTAATTTAAATAAATTAAAGATTAATTTTTTCTAGTTTGGTATTAGCAATGTTTATACAAAATGTCATTCATGTAAATATAGTAAACCTGTCACATTTGAAAATCGCCGCCATATTAGTGGTTAGAAAAAATTTTTGAAAACACTCTCTATTAGCAAATTTAATTAATATTTCTTTTTAATTAAAAGGTTATCAATGGACTGGAGTACCAAATATAATTTTATTTCATCAAGATAACAATGGAGATGAGAATTTTAGACTTTATAAAGTTAATATAACAAATGTAAATATATTCAGAATTTTTTTCAAAATTAAATATATTTATTTTATTAGCCTTCTCCTTTCAATCCAGTTTATACAGTAAATGAACAACCGGGAATTAAAGTTGTTTTTAAGAATAAAAAATAATAATAATTTTATATTAGGCTTTAATTATTGGAAATAATTTACGTGATCATAGAGTTCTTATTGGTCTTAATGATGAAAATCCATCTTTTCATAATATTTATGAACTTGATTTAATTAATAATCAAATGAGAATGGTAATTAATTTTAAAAAATTAACTTAAAATATAATAATTAATTAAAGATATTTCACAATCAAAGATTTCCGGCAAAAATTGTTGTAGACAATAATCTTAAAATTAGAATGGTTGTTGAGGAAGCTTTAGATGGATCTCTTGTTTATTATAAGTAGATAATTAATTTATTTATTTAAAATTAATATTTATTTTTTAGACTTTCTGATAGTGCAAATCCATCAAGGCTAACTTCTGATAGATTAAACTGGGTTGAATATTTACGTGTTCCTTCTGAAGATAGAGCTTTAACTTTGTCTGTTTTTAGTTTTTAAATAATTAATAAATTAATTTTTAGACCAATATCATTTACTCAAGACAATCAAAAAATTTATTGGCAATGGGGAGCTGACACTGTTAGTAAATATACTATAATTATTTAATAAAATAAAATATATACTAGAACCTGATAATATTTAGAAGAGTTATTTATAGAGAGTGTTTAGGATAAGGTAAATGTCAAAATTTTAAATAGTTTGTATTTTTGTTAGAAGGTATCTTCATTATATTTTTCATTCCAATTAATTTAAATTAAAATTTATCTCGAATAAATAATTTTTATAGGACCTAGGTCAATTGGTTGTTCATGATTTTGGACGTCCTGAACAAAACGAGGTTCTTTATACAGCACAAAAAGCACAAATTGGAGGTATTTCTCTCTAATTAAAAAATTTTTGATTAATTTAATTTAGGTGTTATTTTCCATCCAATTGAAAGAACAGTTTTGTCTGTAACTGAAATTTATCATAAACCAGATATTTATGTAGCTAATACAACTGTTTTAGTAATTATTTAAATAAATATAAAGTATATTTAATTATATTTAGGATGATATGCAATATTTAGTTAATTTAAGGCCAACAGGAACACCCGTAATTGAATGCATGAGGCTTTTCTTTTAATTTTTTAAAATTAATATTTGTCTCATTTTAAGTATGGATTTTGATGCTTGGCTTGTTAGTTATATAAGTGATGATCAACCATTTGAATATTTTATTTATAGACGTTCTAAAAAGAGGGCAGAATATTTATTTACTACAAGACCTGGTTATTATTTGTAGTTGATATTTAAATATTTAAATTGAATATAGAATTAACTGGCCGTAAATTGAGTAAAATGATTGGCTTTGATTATTCTGCTCGTGATGGATTACGAATTCAAGCATATTTAAGTTTGCCTCCTCAAGTAATTTTACAAAATATTTTTAATATTGAATGGGTTTTTTGCCTGATTAATTAAATTAGAGATTTATGTTAAATAAAATCCTTATAATAATAATGAGAGAAATATATTTAGAACTAAGATAAACAAACATTTAAACAATAATATGTACCTACTAATTTATTCTTAATTATTTTATTTTTGAAAGACTCCATTGTTGGGTCCAGCTCAATTACACGGTGATCGGTTAGAATTAGCTCGTCAAGGAATGCTACCGAAAAAACCCCAAAGACTCATTGTATTAATCCATGGAGGTCCAAAATTGAGAGATTTTTTTGGTTTTGCCGCTATAAATGCTTGGTTAACGAGTAGAGGATATGCTGTTTTACAAGTTTTTGAAATTATTTTAAATTAATTATTTGTTTAAAAAAATAAAAGGTTAATTTTCGTGGAAGTGTTGGTTTTGGTAAAAATTTAACAAATGCTGGTAATGGAGAATGGGGACGTAAAATGCATCAGGATTTATTAGATGGAATTGATTTTCTTGTTCATAATGGTTTTTGGAGAAAATAATTAAATATTTACTTTATTTTAAAGGAATTGCTGATAAAAGACAAATAGCTATAATGGGAGGGTCTTATGGAGGATATGCAACATTAGTTGGAATGACAGTTAGTATTATTAAATATATTTAAAATTTATTTTGAAAAAAATTATTTTTGAAATTCAAAACATTAAGTTATTAATTTTGTAAGAGAAAGGGAATATTTTAAATTTAAATATATACATATATTAGCCCCGTAGTAACAACATCCTAATCAAAAATAAATTTCTTTAAATAAATTAATATTTTTAAAGTTCACACCGGATATTTTTGCATGTGGCAAGTTTTTTTCTGTTTAACTATATATTAAAGCAAATATTAAGGAGTTGATATTGTGGGACCATCAAATTTAATTACTTTATTAGAAACAATTCCTCCTTATTGGATGGTTAAATTTTAATTAAAATTTAAATTATAACAAAAAATGATTTTTAATAAATAGGGTTTTTATAAAGATATGACAACAATGCTTGGTGCTGATAAAAATTCAGAAGAAGGCTAGCAGTTTTATTAAAATGAGAAATAGTTTCATTTAAGGTCGTCGTTATTTAAAAAGTCGTTCACCTTTATATTTTGCAAATAGAGTAAAACATCCATTAATGATTGTGCATGGAGCTAATGATCCGCGAGTTAAACAAGCTGAATCCGGTCTTTAAAAATTCTGATGATTTAAAATAAATATTTTTAGATCAATTTGTTGCTGCTTTAATGAAAAATCATATTCCAGTTACTTATATTGTATTCCCAGATGAAGGACATGGACCTAGAAAACCACACAATACTCTTGCAATGGCTGGCTTTATTGAAGAATTTTTACATAAATGTTTACACGGAGATGTTGAACCCTTCCATTTAGGTAATCTACAAACATTTATCCTCTCAATACTTAAATATTTTACTTTTTAAGGTCAATATAATTCAACTGCAGTTGTAAGCATTTTATTTAAAAAAATATTTTGTAAAATTAATTTGGTTATTTGATGTTTTTGTAGTTACTTTCTGATGCAAGAAAAGAAATAAAAAATGGAGGAGAAAAGGAAGAAGCAAAAGAATTTTTCTTCTTAAATGATAATTTAAATAAAGTTTTTATCAAAAAATCAGAAAAATTACCCTCACTAAATATGAGAAAGTTAATCGAAAAATTTGGAAGAAAAGCTGAATTAATGAGGTGAAAGAAAATGATTTTTGATTTTAAATAATATTTTTTTAGACAACAGAAGAAATAAAAAGAGAGCATCGTTAATTTATTTGTTTTTAAACAGAAAATTTGTTTTTTTTTGTATTTTTAATTTAATTATTCTTTGATATTTTGTAAATATCGCCAATGGCAAATCAAATAAATATTTTGTCACATTTTTTGATATTTAAAAAATTGAAAAAATGTCAAATATTTTAATAAATATCAAAATTTTCTAAAAATTTTGAAAAACCATTTAATAAATTTAAGATCACAATTTTTAACATTTATATAATTTTGCCATTTTTTCTTTATTCCATTGTCTCCTAACCAACATATGTTTAATTAGACGATGACTAGGATGAAGGAAATCATAATGCCTAATTAATTTTTTATTTCCTTTAAATTAAAATTAATTTAAATTTTTAATTTCTTTTTTTAAACCTTTCCCAACAATTTCTTCTTCAGCATTATAAATTAAGGTACTTAACACACTTTGGTCCATTCTATGACATAAACCATAAACTCTATTACTATAAAAAATTTCTTCAGGGCAATCCCAAGGAACTTTTCTAGGTTCAATACAATCCAAAGTAAATGCACAAAGTAATGCCCATTTTAAAATTTCCCTTGTAAATTCACTTCTTTTTACAATAATAAAGTTAGCTTCTTGCATTTCAATATCAAAATGTTTACCATTAAATAAAGGAATATATTCAAATGTTTCTAATTAAAAATTAACTTTTAAAGTTTATTTCTTTTTAAAATACCTTGTAAAGTTGCATGTTTTATGCCGTGATAAGTACCTAATCCAAAAAGGAAAGGGCTTACTTTACCCGAATTTATTAGATTAAAATGTTCTCTAAAATCATTTGAAATAAAATGTACAGAAGTGTCACAATAAATAAATGAATCAAATTCTAAATAAGCTTGCTAAAAAATTAATAAATTAATATTTTTAAATATATTTTCTATTCCTTCTATTTTAAAATTAAAAGATAAATTATAATTTCTTTTTCACCTTCAAATTTATTTCTATATTTATTTTTAATTAATTACCGCAAAAAGTAACAATTTCCATGAAAATGTTTTCATACCGCGTACATTTTTAGGTAATTGTTTAATATTAAATTCTCTTATTTCCAAATTACATATTTGTCCAAGTTCTCTCATCTTTTTTAATTTAATTTATAATTATTTCTTTAAATATTTCCCTTACAATAACTTTATTTCTTAAAATTCCCCCCAAATCATAAGCAACAATTTTTTGTTTAACACCAAATGCTCTTTTAATATTTGCAATAACAGCCCGAAGTGAAGGGACGAAATTTAAATTTGCTGCAGTTATAAAAATTGTTCCAACTGAAGAACCTGGGGGTTCTGCCTTAATTTTGTAAATTATTTTTAAAAATAAAAATAAAATAACAATAAAATCTAAAGGTTTTTCTTCTTGACTTGTTAATTGAAATTTTTTTAGAATTGAAGTAAGACGACAATCAAATTTTTTCCCTCTAAGATTGTGAATGGTGTTTGAGGCATTATTATATATTTTTATATTGTAAGCCATCTAAATTAAATTAAAAATAAATAATTAAATAAATAAAAGTTAGTAGTAACTCTTCTCATTAATTTAAATTTCTGGGAATAATAGAAAAGAGAAAAAAAGTCTGAAAAAAGGATCATTAAAGCCATATTTAATAGAAGAGTTCACCGTACTATATAATATTTTTACCGGTTCACTTTCATCACAGTTACTATTACCAATTTCACTAAAAAATAATATTATTTTAATAAAATTATTTGATATAATGCAATATACCGAAGGTACAAAACACATACATACCATTCGAGTAGTCTCTATGAGCTAAGTCGAAAGGTACCACACTCTAGGTGTGGAAATGCCTGTGGACCGAAAAGCAGTTCCCCGAAAATCGAAATACATAAGGGGGGAGTGAGATCATTAAAATTCGAATATGCAAATAATTCATATTCGGAATTATTTGCTCATATACTTAGTGTACTCGATTACCTACTGGCCAACCTTAAAAATATCGTAAAAGCACTTTTTGCCTAATTTTTTTCTAAAGACCAATGAAGCAGAAGATTACGAACTTTTCACCCCATAAGCTGGTCCCCCTATGGATTTTCGGTTTTCGGGGACCTATATCTCGATCCACAGGAAAGTGGTACCGTTCGACTCTTGCCTACAGTATACTGCATTATATTCAAAAATTTTATTAAAATAATTATTTAGATTACCTTTCAAAATCATCATTAATTAAACTAAAAATATTATAAATAAAAGGTAATAACATATGTAATTGTAAAATTAATAATAATGTAAAAGGTAAATATTTTTCATAAAACATTGTTCTAAGTAAAATATAAATAAATCCTCGACGGCGGAAACAAAATAGAAATCTCAACATTTCCCGCCTTTTAATTTTGAAAATTGATTTTGCACATTAATAAGATTAATTTGAATTTAATTAATTAATTGTTTTAATTCAAAAAATGTTTGTCTCTAAATTTTAGCTTTCCTTATTTTATTTCTTAATTTTCTTTTTTTAATTACTCATTAAAAATCAGATAAAATCAGATTTAATAGACTCTCTCACTCTTTCCCTCTTTTTCTGGGCAGTATCTGTCCAGTTTTTTTCAATCGCTTCTTTTTTTCATGCTAAATTGGGATATATTAAATATTGATTAAATATTTAATAGACAAAGTCTCGTTTTTTTTATTAAAAAAAATAAATTAATGAAAGTGAAGATAATAAACAATAGATTTTGAATAAGAAAATTAAAAAAAATAAATGAAAACAAATGAGAAAGAGATAAAAGAATGGCCACAATAAATAAATAAATAAATGTACTTTTTAATTGTTGCGCATAAAGAAAAATAAAAAAATAAAACAAAGATTATATTAAATGAAGAAATTTTTTAAAATTATTTTTGGAATTATTATATTTTTGTTTGATTTTTTTGCGTAATTTGTGGACAATGGATAATATAAAGTAAATATAATTTTAAATATAAATTACTTTTACTTTTAATTAAGTTCTCCAATAATTACTAAAAAATTATTTTTAAAATGTCTTTATTTTCCTCAACTTTATATTTTCTTAAATATTTCACATTCCCTTTAATTTTAATTTCCACTATTTTCTTAGAAAAGCAAAATTTTGTTGAAGCAAATTGTTGTGGTGGATGTTGTTGTTGGTAAATTATTTTTAAATTTTTTTTGACAAAAATTCCTTTAAAGTAAGCCTTGTTGTTGTGGATGTACCTGTGTTGGACCTTGTCAATGTTGTAACCCTCCTTTGTTGATTAAATTACCGAGGTAATAATGAGTATTAAATAATTAAAATTCGTGATAAACTGAAAAGATTCAATTGAAAATTAAAAAAATTTAAATTTCTCCATAGTCATGAAGGTTTAAAGGGAATTTAATTGAATAAAATTTATAAGAAAGCTCTTTAATATATCAATTTACAGAACATGTCCATGTTGTTGTAGATGTTGCTGTTGTTGTTGCAGACCATGTATATAGATAAAAATAATAAAAATTTTAATTTGTTTAATAAAAAGGCTGTTGTTGTTGCGATGGAGGAGGTGGTGGTAGAAGACGTCGCTCTCCTCGATTTATAGCCTTAAACTCGTCTAATAAACTATCGGGTAACAATTTTTCTAATCAAAATATTTTTAATACTAGATCCGTCTCTAAAAAATAAGAATATTATCGAAAATCTATGTGATTATGAACAACATAAAATAGAAAATAATCGAAAGGAAACTCGAGCTGAACGATTGATGAATAATTCTGAAATTAAGTGAAGAATTTCTTAAAAAATAATAACCATTTTTTATTTATTTGAACAACACTAAATAAGAGTAAAGAATTAAAATTATAGTAGTGGAGTATGAAAAATTAAATTTAAAAAAATAAAGTAGATTGGGGAATTAAACAGATAATCTTAAAACAGGGCTAGCATCGAGAAAATTTAAAGCTTGAGTACAAAAAGTCCAATTTATAAGTACATAGTAAAAATTTTTCAATTATAAGTACTCTATAAAAAATTTTCTAAATTCTTTGGACAGAAGGACCTAAAAAATTCATTCTTCTGCACCGCCGGTGCAAATTTTAAGAGATTTATGGTTAAATTTATTTGTCTAATCAAAGTTTATTTGTAAATTTTCAACTTCGTAAGAACGAAGGTAGACTTGTAAAGCACTGCACTTTCAAAATAAGTACAAATGATACTACTCCTAATTGCAACAGGTTAATTTATTCCCATAAAAAATTTTTGGTAATAGAGAGCCATACTCACCCAGAGTTAAGGGCAGGCCCATAGCCAGGAGGTAAGGTGGCTACGGCCATCCAAGTTAAATAATGATGTAAAATTTCTTTGAGAAATGGGGAAACACTAAAAATTGGATAAAAAAATTCAAAATTAATTTTCGTTTAATTTTAATTATTCAATAAAAATATATTTATAAAAATAAATTAATTATTAAATTTTTTAATGGATAGAGGAATTGTTTGAACCTGACAAATCGAATTTTTAAATTTTACACCCATAAAACAAGCTTTAAAAACATCGTTTTCTTTAATTCCATGAGGTGCTGGTGAACAAACCTGAAAGAAACATTTTAAAAATTATTAAATATTCCCGGAAAATTTTAAATTAAATTTCCCCCATTTTAAGTGGGGGAGGAATTTAACTTTAAGGAATTTAAATCAAATTCCCCCAATAACAATAAAATTTACCATTCCTATATTGCCAAAAACAGTTCCAACAACTCCATGTTTCAATACTTGTTTTGCCTTACAAGTAATTATTTTTTCTCCTTCACCATCACATTTTTCACCTCCCGGCTGTACTCTTTAAAATAGAAAAAAAAATAAAATCAAAATTTAAAAATTTAAAAATTTTTTACTTTAAAACAATCATTTGTACTTCAAAATCAACATGCATACAATTATGATCCTCCAAAATATAAATTGGTTTGAGTAGTCGAATTGTACCCAATGCTATTGGAACACCAGATATTCTGAGAAAAAAATTAAATTTGAAAAATTTGAATGAAAGGGGAGGGATAGAGGGAAAAGTTAAAATAGATACAAGCGTATTTAAAAAAATATTAAATTTTATGCCCCCTCAGCTAGAGCATATCCAAAAATAACAAAAGCAATATTTAGTAAAGGGAAAAAACAAAAATTAACTGTTTCCTAAATTGTCCAATAGATGATTCTACTAAACGACGAATTGATTCCCCAATATTGCCAGAATGTTGCCAACCCTTCAAATTCAAAAATTTTTAAAAATTAAATTTAAATAACCAAAGTAATATGTCTGCGTTCAATACATTCCTCAATTAGAGAATCATCGAGGAATTTTTTAGCATCATTGTAACTAATTAAATCCATAACAAAAAAATAAAAAGAATTAGTAAAATAATATTTTAGAAAATAATTTTATAAATTATCTAAAAAAATTTCTTACAAAAATACTTTTTAAGTGAAATTACTTTTATGAACAAAAAAATACAAAATAAAACTGTCCCAAACATTTAAAAAATTTTCAAATTTTATTTGACAAGTCAAGATGATTCTAAATCTATATGTTGAAACTCTGGGTATTTTTCTCTAACTTTCTTTTCAAGACGATCAACTTCATCCCCAACCTTAAATTTTAAATATAAATTTAAAAAAATATTTTTCTAAAAATTCTTTACCTTGTCAATAAGTTTTTCACCATGCAAAAGCATAAATTCTTCAAGTTCTTTTTTGTTAGTAATTTTTGAGACTTGTTGCTGTAATTCTTCCATATTACAATCCTCTTTTAAATATAATTTTGTAATTTCACGTCCATTATATTCAATTTCAGCTTTGAAACGATAATCATTTACATCTAAATTTATAATTATAAAAACATTTCCTGCCCCCAAAGTTTTCAAAAATTAATTGGATAACCCAAAAATATATACTAATATTTTATAAAATATTTACCCATATATGTAGCTTTAACATCATGCATTCTCCTTAAAAATCAAAACATTTAAAAATATCTAAACTAACAATTACTTAATAATTGGATCTTCTGTCATGTAAGCAATTATTTGCCTTTGTTTACTTTCTGGTAATGACCGTCCTACTAAATGAAGAGCATTTGCCCAAATTATTTGATATGCAGCAGTTCCAAGTACTAAACCAATCAATATTGAACCAAAACTAGCAAAAAATTAAATTAATTTAAAAAATTATTCATTATTTAAAACCTATCAAAACCTGTAGTACCAGTCACATGAGTGAGTGATACACATGTAAGAGCAATCAAAACGCCAGTTATTGATGCAGCATCTTCTAACAGAACAACCTTTATACTTGGATCAGCACCCGCACTTACCACTAAATTTTTTTTAAAAATGAATAGAAAAGGGAAAAAACTAACAATATTGTTTCACAGAAAGCCCTTCATTTTTAGCTCGCCTTCGGACCTCAAAAAATGCTCTAGTAAAGGAAGCACACTGCAAAGATGCAGAAATAAATAAAAGTCCAATTCCCT